GACGGCCGAATTTACGCCGGCAGCCGTCTTCAGTCACCGGCCCGTCGACGTGGTCAAGCCCGACGACCAGCCAAAGGTCAAACTCTACGGAGCACCGTTCGGCAATGACACCTACTACATTCGATTCGCGCTCATGTACAAGCCAGTCTCCGTCGACTTCGTCGCCTCCGACGGCCACGAAGTGCCGGCGATTGAGTACAACTCCGACGTCGTTTCGGGTTCCGTCGAGAATCTGGTTCGTTACTTGGACGCGAAGTTTCCTGAGCCGCGGCTGCTGCTGGCTGGCGGTCGATGGCACGGGGAAATGCCGCCGTCGGTGGCGTGCGTGGTGACTCTGCAGCACCGGAGCATGATTTGGCACCTGGAAAGGATGGTTAAGTGGGCGGAGGAGCTGGCGGCGCGTGGGGGAAAGGCTAGGGGGAATCCGGCGGCGTGCACTCCCCGAATGGAGATCAAGAAATTTGAGAAGATGTACTCTGTGTTGGTGGAGGTGATGCGAGAGCATGCTCAAATGGAAGAAATAATTGTGTTTCCAATCCTGGAAAAAGCGGATCGAGGTATTTATCCTAATTGAGTTTATATCCTATGCATAATAATAATAATAATAATAATAATAATAATAATAATAATAATAATAATAATAATAATAATAATAATAATAATAATACGTAATGATATCAACTTTCTTGATAATGTTTTTGAGAAGGTGGTATTTTTTTTGCCCGCAACAAACTTAATTATCATTAATGAGATCAAAGGTCAAAGCATCAAAAATACAACTCCGAGGAAAAGATAACCAAATCTGGCTAACAGACATAGAACTCGCCACTCTAGCTAATTTATGAGCAACTAAGTTCGTTGAACGCCTAATAAAAGAAAAAGATATTAGTAAACTCCGAGCTCAACACTCTAATGTCCTCTGCCAGTAGACCCTTGGACGACTAACTCGATCCATTCCTTATTTCCGAGATAGCCAACATCGAATCTGATTCTACTTCAATAAAATCCCAATTATGATCCATCAACCAACTTAAAGCTTCACGAATGCCTAGTAGTTCTGCTTGTAAAGGATTGTAGCAGCCACTCTCAGGTGTAGCGCCCCCTGTCAAAAATGCCCCGGCATCACTGCGTACCACCCAGCCCAAACCGCAACCTTGGTCGCCACAAGAAGCATCAATATTCACCTTGAACCAGCTCGTAGCAGGTCTGCACGAGAAGATGGTAATTTATATCCAGGGGCGGAGCTAGGGGGTGCCCAGGCTAGGCCCTGGCCCACCCCAAATTTGAAAAATGTCAATATTTTTAGTGTAAAAAATTTCGTGTAAATTTTTTTCTAATAATTTTCTTTGTACCGGCCCAGTCTAGCCTAGTATCCTGGCTACGCCCCTGTTTATATCAAGTGTTTCTAATAATTTTTCTCCATGACTGCTTTTGAGAATTTCCAATACCAACAATTTAAAGGGTACTCCCTCCGTCCCGAAAAGGTTCGTCAACTTTGACTTTCACGTGGATTAATAAAGATGACAAACTTTGAAAATGTTTGCCATTATAATTATCCTTGGAGTTCATTTAATTTAAATTACAAAAATACCTAGAAGTAGATAGAAGTTGGTATTATGGTATATACCATCTTCCAATATAATTAACTTTTAGCTTTAAAGTGATTTTTTAATTAGAAGTTGGTAATTGTAAATAGAGTAAGCTAAATTAAAAGGGGACATGAATTAATAGACATTGAGATTTGTGATTATTACTCCGTATTTTAATAGTCGAAGTGCCTATTTTACGACTCGCGAAGTTTAATACGGAGTATGTGCTATAGATGACTGAATAATGCATGATGGATACAGGACTATGCAAATTCGCAAACGCAAACCACGCGATGGATCTTCCGGTAATGAATGGAATCCAAGAAGACATCAAATCCATTGTAGTTTTGGATCCCAAGAAACCAATCTATCGAGAGGCCATTTCCAATCTTTCTAAACGTCTCAAAACCTTTAAGGTACGTACCGTTATGTATTTGCATTTTGGACGTGCCATGATCATTTCAATTAATCAAACAAAACATGACAACTCATCGTTAAGGGCTCATCATAGGTCGGACAATTAAGTGAGAAAGTGTAAATTGAATTTTAATCACAAATTGATTAATACTAAGTGAGAGTCTAATCCAGATACTTCATTGCAATTTAAGTGATTGCCTAACATAAGATCGATAGGATAATTATATATTTGTATAAGTATATGGATAATTAATAAGAATAGTATAATGAAAGATAATTTCTTTCAATCAATACATTTCGTTGTATGAGGGAGAAATGAGAGATGTTCAGTCGTTGTGGAAGCTTGCCTTCAAATGAGAGCGGGGCGCCCCTCTTCTAGATGAGAGGCAGACAAATAAATACAGAGAACATTCAAGCATAAGTACGGAGTACAATTTAACAAACTAGCTATTACTTCCCATGTCTCTTAAACCTTACCAAGTTTGACCGACACAAGGATTAATAAAGTAAAAAATGTGTGAGAGGGGTTTGTGAAAAAGAGAGAGAATTACATGAAACCACAAATTCTTTATTGAAAAGGAAAAGTGACAAAGTTAGAGGAACAAGTGAACAACCAGAAAAGAAAAATTGACAAAGTTTTTAGGGACAGAGGAAGTATGTAATATTATAAAATAAACTCGATCATAATTAAGTATTAGTCCGTTGTGTATTAAAGACTCACTCATGGTGATAGTTGAAATTTTCCGACCCAATGTTGGGTTCGGTCTTCTCTAGAATACTGAGCCAAGGCCTCGACTCAGTATCCTTATATGCCTGGGCTCATAACCTATAAATTAAATTGATCAGTCTGGCCTCAAAATTTAATTAATTATATCAATGATGTCCTTACCTGAAAATCCGAATAAAAGGAAGCTAGAGTTGTATATATGGTAGCTTACTTTCTTTCATACGTAGTACGTAGTATATAGTATCTGATCGATTAAATGGCAACATTCTTAACAGAAATGTTCTTGGGAATGTTATAGTGCTTGGCAATATCTCAGAGTTATTATAGGGCCATTTAAAAGAAATGTTCTTCATCTTCCCAATTGACTAATATGAAATATAATTAATTCCTTCTCATTTCATTTCAATTGGTTGTAATATTGGATATCTAAAAGCGCATCTTAATTGTAATGGTAATTTAAGATACTACGTATTATGAACTTAACATCCAAGCCACATATATACATGGCAGGAGGACTCAAGGCAACACTTTGGGGAGGAAGAAAAGAAGTTACTGCCACTATTATCAGAAGCTGCTGAATTGGGTAAAATGAAGCAAGCCATATTTGTGGGGCAGTGTTTGGACTCAATGCAAGGAACACACTCACGTCTCTTCCGTTTCTTCATGGAGGGCTTCCTTCCTGCGGACGCAATGCAGTATATGAACATCATTGCCAAGTGCAGTGACAAAGAGAGAGTGTCAAGGCTTTTCAGGTTGATTGTTGAGAAAGAGAATAGCTTAGGTTGGGCCATTGGCAATCCATTGGCATAGACTTTATGCTATTCATTTATTCATTGTTTGCTAGAAATGGTAGGTAAGAGTTGAAATCTTTTCATTACATTAATCAATTTATTAACATTTGACTATTCAAAATGTGTGATACACAGTGGTCCATGAGAAGTGTACTATAAGCTCTAAATGTCATAACTTTTGCTCGGAGCATAGTTTAATTGGCTGACAGGGTGTACTAAAAGATGTAGCTGCCGGTTGAATTCATACTCCGTTGGGATATGTTTTTGAGTTTGGAGGGAAGGGAAACGGGTGGAGACACTTCTTGTTTGCAAGTTGCATATTTGAATAGAGAGAGGCTAAGGATGAATTATACTTATAATCACTATAAAGATTTAACAAACTTAAATAGTTAAATGTATATTTATTTTTAATTATTTATCTTTCAAAATCTCTTAATTTGAGACTTAAAAGTTGAGTATTTGAAAAGTTTTGAAGGGTAACCAAGGTCCTCCAAAACATTTCCTTCCAATTTTCTATACTCTCAAACAAGATGTAAGAGGTCATAAACCCTCTTAACCCTTCCCCTCCCATTGTGAACGAAAGGTAATCGCTCTCGACATCATTCGCACCGTCACATTATGAAGCCTAGAAACTACGACCTCCGCACGACAACAACTCCTCCCGTGCGAAGCACCTTTGGCTAGCAGGAGTGGGGGACTACCCATCGGCCTCTTCCTCCATAAAGCAGAACGTGGAAAAAATGCAAACTTCAAAAATCCGAATATTCAAGTAATCCTCTTTGCCTTGACTACCTTTCGACAAAGGGGGACTTCTGATGGAGTATATGGTCCAGAACCCCCTGGCCCACATACTCATGCAACCCAAACATATGCCCTCAGCGGGACCCCTCACCAGGCCCTCAATGGGACACCTCGACAACCCTTTGGTAGCACTACCCCTTAATGACCCTTTGGCAGCACCCCTTGATAAACCCTCGGTACCACCCCTCGGCAAGCCTTGAGCGACCCTTCAGGCTTCAACAACACCCCGCGGTGGCTCTCAGACAGCTCTCAGCGGTACCCCCGGTCATGAGCTCTCACCAATGAGCCCTCGACACTTTAGTACACCCATTCACAGATTAGCCTTTTATGTAATTGGGTCTGGTAGGCCCAACCTAGCAGCCCACTCCACATTTCGTTTATATATACTCTCCTTTGGGAACCTTGTAAATGATTGTTAATTATTATACATTCTCACTTTGTCTCTAATTCTCTTTTCTCTCTAAAATAATACTACGTATATATGACTAGTGGTATCCTGGTATCACAATCTATCACATACCTTTGATCTCTTACTTCGGAAGACAATAAAATAAAATTTGTATAGTTAAAGTTTGGATTTTGCTCAACAAGATGTTCTTACACTTAGTTAGATGTTGATCTCACGTTTGATCAACCAAGTTATGAATATAACTTGATCAACTCTCTAAAGAGAGCCTCGAGTTGATTTGCATTTTATCAATGTCACAATAGTCCACTAGAAAAATTCATACAGTAGTATATTTTTTAGACATGAGTAATTACTCTTCGGAAAAAAAAATTCATACTAGTATCTGTTACCGTTATTACTCTCAAAATATCGTGGGATATTTTGTTTGTAATGAAATGTACAATAACAACAAGAAAATAAAACAAAAAGGGTTTAGCAAATTAAACTGGTTCGATTCAAGCCAGAAATACAAAAAGAGTAGCTCCATACAAGAGGGCTGTCGTATATAATGGCGTGTGATTCTTGCCAGCGGCGGCATTGCGATGAGAGTTGCGGCTGGAACTTCCGGCACCTAAGGCCGGCGACGCACGAGGGAAAGATGATCTCCCGCGGCCTCGGGATCCAATTCCTCTAAAGCCCCCACTCGATAGCTTGCTTTTCTCATTTATGGCTCCACCCTTCCAAAGTAGATCTACAAATTTCAAAGTAAAACATGCCCAAAAGTTTAGAGAAAAATTAGTAGTACAGCATTCACACACACAAAAAAATACGAAACCTAACAAGTTTTGTCTCTTTTAGTCACTGCATTCAAGGATGTTTTTACTTTAAATAAGTTCCTGAGCAAAACAAATCATAGTAGACTCACACAATTATAAGACATTTATGATTTATCAGACCATTAAAATTAGATTTAAATAAATCAGACCTAATCAGATCAGCTCAAGCCATAAAATTTCAGTCTAATTAAAAACATTCTAGGAGAAACTTACCTTGCGTTCATTAATAATGGAATAGCTTTTGGGTGATTCAAGAATAAACTTCCATTACTTTCAAGAATAGAAAAACATACAAAGAATTTCTAACTAAAAATTTTTCTTGATAACTGGTCTAACATTTTGATAATTGAAAAGTTATATGTGAGCGTAGCTTAACTGGTAGATAGAGCGTGCCACAAAGGGTAAGTCTCAACTTAAAGTTCAACTTACACCCTCCAAGCGAACTGTCCAGCCGGTGCTGGGGTCCTCAAGGATGAGCTGTCTATCCATTTATTAGATAAAAAGTAAATAGGGGAAGCTAAGAGAAAAGTGTGAGAAAGTTTGAAAGAAAGATTCAATATAATGGGTGAAAAAAATGAATCCCATGCGCAACATTTGTCATTCATAGACTTTGAGAAAATTTCCACAGTTGAATTGTTAAGTCATTCATAAATTGTCTCCTTTGACCAAGACATTTGTTCACATTAAAGACATATTCACATGAATTTACTATTTCCGATATAAAATCGAGACCCCAAGCATATAAAGTTACGAGATTAGTCGGCAAAATCTGCCAATAAAGTGCAAAAAGAAAGTCATTTACTAATTACTAATTAAGTAGAAAATGAGATGAAACATACCCGAAGTTGAAGAGTTGTTGTTTGGAAGAACACAAGAGCCAGAATAATGTCCGGCGAAGAGAAATAATAGAAAGAAGATTGTTTTTTTGGCTACCATGATGACTGAAATCTTAGCACCTTTTTCTGCTTTCAATTCATGTTATTCTTCTGATCTGAGGTCGATCCTACTATATATAGAGCCCAAATGGCCGGATGTCGGTCCGCAACAGTAAAATTTTCGTGTGGATTACTACACACTAATGGGGCATCTAATTCAATAGCTCCATTCACGCAGTTGACAAGTTCGCATATTACTGACTTCTTCCATCTTTGTAACTTTATCTAATTCAATAATAAAACGAAAGTTTTATGATAACAATTTATGCACAGTTGAGAGATATGATAAATAATAAAAATTAATTTCATAAAAATCAGAAAATGATGAATTTTTTGGGTTAACTAAATGAGAAAAGTTGTTCTAATTATAAGAGAATTTACAAAGCTACAACGTGAACGGTGCATATGCAGCATGCGAGATATAGACTTTTTTTACCCCGGAAGGTAAACCACTCATCAGTGGGGCAAGTGCCGGGGGTCAGTTGCCAGAGTTTTATTGATAAAGGAGATTAAAAAAGAGAGGGGGCATGCGAGAGATAGACACGAATAAATAAAATCATGACTTTTCTCTCTCTCTCTCTTTCCATGATCTTATGTGTTTTTGGTAAGTTTTTCTCAACAATGTCAATCATAATGTCTACAACTAGACTCGAGCCTATCGATCATTTTTAAATTATAAGAACAACTTATATTTATTTATATCTTAACATTTAAACGTTTTAGTGAAATTTTATAAATTTATTACTCATTATTAAAGATTCGAGTATTTATTGAATAAATCGAACACGAATCTATTAACGAGCATAATTTAAACTTCTACTTTCGAGCATGTTTATAGAAAGTTCGAATCGAATACCAAAAATCTATCGGGCCAAGTTCGAGCTCCATTTAAGTTCGAATCAAATATTCATTTCATTGTTTCGATGTATAATAGTCACGTTAGTTTCATATGTATAATATATTATCATTAACACCGTTAAGTTTTTGTATAAGAAATTATTCTCTAATACTCAATTGTATGTGACATTATGATGTATTAAAAAATTACAAGAATTAAAATTATGAATTACTCCATATATATTAATTCAATGTTTATGACTTTCATGTAATTGGTGTTTTGATTTTTTTTGGGCTAGACTGCAGACCAATTTTTTGTAAACCTATACCTATAATTCAAAAAAAAGTGGGGTGTATGGGCCCCACCCTAACCCCTATTACGATTCGCCCCTGATGTACACAAATAGTGTAAACTTTTTGTATACTTGGTTGTATACGCAGATAATTGCGGACTTTCTCAAAATGAGCTACATATATAGGATTATATACACATGCAACTATGAAGTAGTTCTGTTTGTATTATTCTTATTACTTATTGCTTATTCTTATTTTATTCAGATCAAATCAAATTAGATAAAAAAATATTCAGATCAGATTAGATCACATCAAATCAGAAGCATTCAGATCAGATAAGAAACATTCGGATCAGGTCAGATGAAATCATAATCATTCACATTGGTTATAACATAAAACAAAATGAGAATGGAATAAAAAGTTACCGAATCTCTTTTCCCCCTCAAAAGACAACACCTAGCCATCCACCTACCATTAAATCCACATGACAAAACATGACCGAGTGAGCCTACGGTTGGACATCTATGATCTGTGATCTATCTGCCTTCTTTACTATTTCGATTTTTATAAATGTATGATCTTTCTTTCAAAATAAATAAATAAATAAATGTATGATCTCAAATATGCGTATTAAGGACTTTAAAATGAAAGTTATAAGGCACGAATGACTGAAAAAATCAGTCTATGAATTAAATTTTTGTGATATTTTCTTTTCAAATGTTTTAATTTTTATTAATTTTATTAAACTAATAAACATTTGTGAAGAAAAAATCATCAAAAGTTAGCATCAAAATAAAAAAAATGAAAGAAACATAAATTTATGATATTTTAGATCTTTGATTAATAGTTTTCAATCATTCACGCTTTGTAATGACAATACTAAAATTTTGATCCCTAATGATACCCCCACATATTTTATTATTATTTGAAGCCAGCGAGGAATTGAATCTTTAAAAATTCAAAATTGAAATTGTAAACATTATGACTGAAAAATGTTAAATTGTCTGATTTGAATGATAAAACACACTATGCATATTGAAAGTACATTTCATCAATAAAATAAAGAAAATATCAACGAACAAATTCCAGCTAGGAATGACTATCTAGTCATTGACCGAGTGAAGATGGCGAGTGTTTTACCTAATTATGTCATTGCTTTTGTTGGAAAGAACTTCTAAAGCCTTTTGATTGAGAGGCCATAGGAACGGGTGCAATAAGTGCTTTCCCGTTCAACTATATCCAATTGGAAAAGAAGAACAAGATCTAATACAGTAAAAGAAGGTATGGAAGAATTGATCTGGTGAACGAAAAGAAAGGAAATGAAAGGTAATGTATGCGATAAAAATGGAGGCACGATGAATTAAAAATATAGGAATAGAACGTATGATGTAAAATGACAGATGGGAGGACTTTTAGCAAGAATTGTAGTGCTATTAAAGGGGATCAGATTGTGTTTAATTGGATTGATTTCAATCTCAGAATAAATCAAATCAGATTGAAATAGACTAAACCATATTATTATTAGCCCATATAAGACTTTGACAATAGTAAAATACATATGAGATCAAGCCATATTAGTTCAATATAAACCAAATCAAATTATAAAATTTCAATTCAATTAAAAACATTTATTAAAAACATAAGATGCATAGATTAATCCAACAATACCATTTGTTGGGGTTCTGATCTTATTGCCAACACCTTTCATTGGAGTTATTATTTGTAAGATTTAAATTATGGCGTGAAGACATTTTTAGATTCCCCACACTTTATTGAAAGTTTTGATATTTGGATAGAGCTTTGTGGTACTATCATATTTTCTACCATTGTTGGTATATGTTCCTTATCCTTTTTGTTGTTGAACTTAGGGGTAGACTGGGACGGGTCAGCTCGACCCGAGAGCCAGCTACCGTGCAGGCCTGACCCGACCTAGTTGAACGGGAAAAGCCCGGGGCCTGACCCGAATGAACAAGCAGGCGGTACCGGGCTTTGATTTTAGTGGACCGGTTTGACCGGCCCGGGCCCGATCCGGACCTAAAGGTCAAGAATTCCCAAAAAAAAACAAAATTTGGGCTTGGAATTATTTGGCGTGGCCCAATCCAGTCCCATCCCGAAGCCCACCCAGGTAGCCGGGCTCGATACCGGTACAAACCCGAGCCGATACCGTGCCTAATAATTTTGGACCCGGAGCCCGGCCCGGACCCGATCCAATCCACCCCTAGTTGTACTTTTTGTCATGCATATAGTATATATGTTCTCTTAAACGTAACTCCTTGACCGGGAGAGGTTTTAAATATGTGACATTCTTCCTGAGAGTGTCATAATGATGTCATCGAATCACAAGATGTTTGTCTATGTGCTTTCATCTTGAACTTCACTTTTTTGAGCATGCACATTAGCATATTACTTTAAAATAAAATTTTAAAATACAAGTAAAACATGAATAAAATCCACGGATATCTAAACGAATTATGTTTTCACAATAAACTTATACAACATTATAATTATATTAAAATAATTATCCTATTTGGAGAAGGAAATAATGATACTCTTAGGATGTTTTTTATTTAAACGTATTTCAATTCAGTCTTAGATCAGAACAGAGTAAATCAGACCAGATCAAATCAGACTTAAATGAATTAGATAAGAAAAATCCAGTTCAAGTAAGACATCCTTAGTTTTGAATTTTCTCTTTATAATAATGATGAATAAACACCCCAAACTATCATATGTAATTTTAGCACACCAAACTTTATACAAAAAAGTTATGTTAGCACCATGATCATATATTACTTCTTTCAAAAAGTTATGGTGTTAATTGCATAATTTAAAATAACAAATTAAAAATGATGAAGTTATATAGAGTGGGGGTAGTATTATTTATTTACAGTGGAAGTTTAGAATGTTAATTGTATCTTCATGAATGCTAAAATATTTTAAATTATGAAATTAACACAAAAAATTAACATTTTTGAAAGAAGCAATATATGACCATGGTGCTAAAATAACTTGTTATATAATGTTTGAGGAATTTAAATTACATATGCAAGTTTGGGGTACTCACCTCACACCCCTTCAAAATTTGGGATATTTTAATTATTTTCCCCTATGACTAAAATAAATATAGTCAATAAAAATTGACATTTTATAGTGAAATACTTTGACTATAATAGTAATTAAATGATCATGATTAGATTCCATTTTATAATATAATGACCATTAATATATATATATATAATGACCATGATGCCATGCTTATAATAATTATCACATTTTTTTCAAAATATTACTTCTTTTGTCCTATTGATTTTTTTCAACTTTCTATTTTTGATTGTCCAAAAAAACTTTGACGCTTTCTTATTAAAGTAATCAATCTGTGCTTCTGCTCATTTCTCTTTCTTCTACTTAAACCTCAACCACATAATTGTTTATTTTCTTATTTATCACCTAGTTTGCACTTGGCAAATCCACCCGGATGGAGGCAGTACTAGTATAGTACTCCGTAGTATATTTTGATGGACTCTTCCAATCTAAATTTTTAAATAAAAAAGACGTGACAACTGACCCATTCATCTTTGATTTTTTCTTTTGGTACACCTTGGGTTACACCTTGATATACACTCTATTGAACCCTCCTCCTCCTCCTCCTCCTTCTTTCCTTCTCTTTTTCTTTGTTTTTAGGTTTTATTTACCTTCATCCTCCTCCTCCTCCTCCTCCTCCTTCTTTCCTTCTCTCTTTTTACGTTTTATGCACACCGACACTGGTTTGCTTTTAGTGTCTGTGTACACAGACGAAAATTGTATATGTACAAACACTTTTTTTTCTACACAGACAACTAATGTCTATGTACAACGGCATTGGTTTCACAACCCCCTGACAGTTGCAAACTGATTTTTCCCACACTGATACTTTTTGTCTACACAGGCAATTAATGTCTGTGTACACCGACATTGGTTTTCGTACCACCAACCCGACAGATCTAGAAACTAATTTTATTCACGCCGGCAATTTTATCAGAAGTATTTATATTTGTACGTATTTTATTTGTGCCCCGAAAGGCAAATAAATAGGGTGTAACACAGGCAAAATATACCGTACACCCGGTTGTACGGTCCTCACCGTACAACCGGGTATTTTTTAATTGTTTTCAACTTCTCCCAAGCTGGTCCACATCTGAGCTGCCTTGATTCCTTCGGCACCATACGAAGAGGAACGTCGGCTGATCACTAGTATTCGCTGCTGGTTGCTAATTGATTCATGAAGAGGAACGTCGGCTGATTCCTTACTTTTCCCATTTGTGTTTTGTTTTCTTTTCTCTTTTCTGTTTCCTTGCGTTTCTGATTTCCTGAATTGCTAATCAATTACGTAGTACGTTTTTTCCTTATCTATTCTTTTCTTCTTTTCTTCTTTTATTTCTTTTCTTGCTTTTACTTGTTTCTTTTTTTTTTTTTTTAATATTTATTCAATTATAAAATATTTTAGATATTTATTTTTTGTTTTTCTATAGCTCATTTTGTAAGTTACGCATGCTCATTTGATATTGGTTTTATGCTCATTTTAAAATGTCATATTGAGCACATATTGAGTACCATAGAAATGAGTTTTATGTTAAATTCAAATGAGTATAACGTCCAAAATGAATGAGCACACAAAAATGCGTTTTTAAATTTTTTATACTCATTTTGTAAGTTATGTTTGCTCATTTAGTACTGTTTTATACTCACTTTAAAAGGTTGCACACTTCAAACATATCATACCACATTAGAAATGAGTTTTCTTTTCATTTAACAGAAACCATTATTTCCATCTCAATAGAGGAGGTTTGATGCTCAATGAAAATATCATGATTTTCAATTAACAAACCAACTAACAAATTCATTAGTGCTCATTTTGTTAGTTACGTATGTTCATCTGATACCGATCTTATGCTCATATATTAGACTCCTAATACTCAACGTAATAGATCGGATGTTCATTAAAAGTTCATTAATGCTCATTCACAAGAAACTGTGGTTTTCATCTCAATAGCGGATGTTTGATGCTCAATTAAAATGGCGTGATGTTCAACAAACAAAACCTTACGATTTTCATATCAATGTACACTTTGTAGTTATGTATGCTCATTTGGTACTGATGTAAAGCTCATTTTTACAATGTCATATCAATGCATATTTCAAAAGTATCATATTATATTAGACTCGCATATTGAAATTAATGAGAGTAAATTATAGATATAATTTAATAAGTTTTTATAAAAGAAAAAACAAGGAAAGGAAAGAGAATTAGAATATATGAAGCAAATATCGTGAAACTCATTGTTAGTCTCCTAATACTCAATAAAATAGGCCAGGTGCTCATTAAAATTACACAATTACTCATTTAGCAGAAGCCGCGATTTTTGCTTAAATTACAAAATTGCCACCGAAAAAAATTTGGCCTGTATTCAGGGCCGGTTCTGAGAAAATAGGGACCCGGTACAACAACAAAAATTGGGCCTTTTTCCAAGTTCCAACACAAGTATTTTGTTTTAAAACATTGATTACGATGTCCACTATATCATCAGGATTCTCAGCCACGTCATTACCACAATGATCTGGTATTTCAACATTATTTTCAACGCCTACATCCTATTGTTCACCCTCTTAAACCTGTCTAGCTTTTTTTTACCTCTCTAGCTTCTTTAATACGGAGTAATAAATTTATCAAGAACTCCTTTTTGAGACAAGGTTAACTTTTCAAGTTTTTTCTTTTGAAGCTTCTCATGACCAGATGGGTATTTCTTTGGAAATATAATTACCACCACATATCAATTATTGAAATTCTCCCCTAATCTTGTACAAGTTTTAAAAAATTTGGTTAATAAAATTTTATTTGACAATTAAAAAGCATAAATGTAATTGCATTATTTTTGGTTACAACCAAAAAGTAACCATAAATGTAATTGCATTATGTCCAAAATGTAAAACATTATGTCCAACTCCTTTTAGTTAGTAATATTTGTGACCAAACCCCTTTCACTAATTTGCAATTCAAGGAAATCAGAAAATCATAGTGGTGAATCTGGTGATAGTTGCTTACCGGTTACTGTGGTAGCAGCCTGGACAGTGGACTGGTGGGGCGTCGGCGCGGTCGTGGTCTTGGAGGCGGGAGGTGAAGTGTGGCTGGCGGCGGTGGTCGGCTTGGTCGCTTTAGCAGTTTCGGTTTTGAGCTTTCTCTTCCCGTCTTCAGTCTTCTACTCTTCCGTAAGTTCCCTTCGTTCTGTTATTTTCTTCCTTCGAACCTGGGCTGGCTAGTGGCAGATGGATGACTACTACTACAAATTTTATTTTTGGGCCCCCTAAATTTTGGACCCTGTGCGACTGGGCTGGAAGCACGTGCTCTGGGCCGGCCTTGCCTGTATTGATTGTTGGGCTGTCTTCCTTAGTTGGACCGGGTGTACGTACACCCGGTTGTATGATATAGGCTCTCATGTAACACATGTGTAGCCCGGGGCAAACGCCAAGAATTTCTGTTCATCTTTATATTGGGGTCCGGGTCGGATCACTTGGATATATGGATGACTGTTGTATACTTGTATGATGTGGGGTTAAGCGGAGAAATCCGTTAATTTGCGAGAAAGAAAATGAGAAAGCAAGTTCTAAGTTTAACGGAGTCGGCAGCGGCTAGAATACGCCAGCTGTTAGCGCATCGCCAGCGGACTTTCCTCAAGCTCGGCGTCAAGGCTCGCGGCTGCAACGGCTTATCCTACACCCTCAATTATGCAGGTCAGCCTCCTCCCAACTCTAATCACCACCATCACTGATCCCTTCTAGGAAAATACTTTCAAACATTTCCACGGGTAAATTGTAGGAATCCTTATTGATCAGAATGCAATTGACGGTTAGGGTTAACTCAAGTTTGGGAGTTTTTATGATTCTTATATAATAATGTATGTGTTAAACTTTGCGGAACTATAGATGTGTTATTTATTAACTTGGGTTTATACTATGTAGACGAGAAAGGGAAGTTCGATGAATTGGTTGAAGATAAGGGTGTGAAGATATTGATTGATCCGAAGGCCCTCATGCATGTTCTAGGAACCCAAATGGACTTTGTTGATGACAAGCTCAGGTTCTTATGGCCTTTTCTATTTCATTAGCTTTCTTGATTACAAATATAATTTTTGTTATCTGTTCATAGGCTCATAGCTTAAGTATTTTGGATTTGGAGGTTGGATGGTTTGAGCAGAGACCTTAACTTCAAACCTCAAGTACTTCATTTTCTTGGATAATTTTAATGTTAAAGTTTATGCCTTTCTCATATCATTATCACCAAATGCTTCAAGAGTTCAAGTAAAATTGGGATACCCAAAGTTAGCTAGCTTTGTATAAGGTACTTACTTCTGACAGGCTACCAAAATGTTTTTTTTTTCTCTTAGAGAAGTTAGTGCTGGGGTACGGCTGCATACATCCGACCCCCCTTACCCATGGTTGTCACGGCGTCGACTAGGCGTCGCCTAGGCGCCGACTAGGCGTCCTGGCGATGGAGAAGGGGCGCCAGGGGAGATCGACTCGCCGGAAGAAGACTAGTCGCCTCCGGCGTCGCCTAGGCGTGAATATGTCGTCCAGGCACAGTCTTGGCGTGAAGCCAGGGGAGATTTGAAATCTCAATAAATTCGTTTTTTGAAGCCCAACCCAAAAGAACAATCATCGACTCTCAAACTCGAAGCTTAATCGACGACTCCTAAAGGCGAAGCATCGCTAGTCGTTACTTCTCTGATTATTTGTGCCTCTGTCGCAAGGTTGAAGACGAGTAGGAGATCTGTAGTTGATGCGTTCCTGGCACTCCTGCATCACAAGGTTGAAGACGACGTGCGCCCTTCCCAGCCTTTTATTTTTATCGGTCATTCATCTTATCACTTTAGTCTTTATCAGACTTCTTATTCCACTATATATATTAATATTAAGTATTAATATTAATACTGCGTACCCACTAAGCAGTATACCCACTACGGAGTACGGAGTACAATTTTACATAGTTTAATTTCAATATAATATATGTATATTTCGTACACAGTATACAGTATGTATAGATACACACTACAATATATACTAGCAATGCATATCTTGTATATTAATAAATTAGATATATAATAAATTAATAAATTAGGTATATTAATATTGAAATTAATAACTTGTATATTAATCAATTAGGTATATTAATATATTAATAAATTATTTGGCAATATACAATTGCATTCATAATATATCTTATATAATAAATAATTAAATTACAAATTAAGTATAGTTAAATAGAATGTTATATTATATATAAATTATAATTATATATATTGTGCGACAAGTCGCCTAATTGTCGCCTAGGCGGGCGCCTTGTCGCCTAGGCGATATGGCGGTTGGCTGGCGCCGCGACTCGCCTTAGCGCCGTGACAAGTATGCCCTTACCCCACCGTAGGTGGGAGCCTTTGCGGCATTGGAGTAATGATGATGAGAGAAGTTAGTGCAAATTTACCCAGAAGACTAATAATATCCAAGCTTCTTTAAGATAGTAAGATAATGTAATACACTAATACGGAGTAAAAAACTTTAAAGGGCATTTCTCGAATTATGTTAATTGAATATGAATTTTGCTTATCCCCCCTTGCCTCCAATTCCCTCAATCCAAACATACCGTATGAGAAATTAATACATTACACATTTATGGGGATGCTGGATTCTAGTGGATCTGTTTTTGCCTTCTTTCTTTAATTATAGCATGAGTAGTGTCTCTATTGTGACCAACACTTTCATGATTAGTAGCTAAATAGCTGAAGTTTGTTTATGTTTGAATTACTCCGATGGGCTTCTATTGAATAATAAATCTTTAGTCAGGTTATGTTTAAGATGAATGTGTCTTGAGAGAAAGTAAGAATGCATCTGATTAGACTGATGGTCTTAGGATGTTCAATCTACATTAACTGATTAACACACTCTTGTGGTGTCCCAAGTCTGTTCAGAACTCAGAAAACTAGAAAAGGCCAAGGGAAGAAAATAGGGTGGAAATATAGGGTAAATTCGTAAGGGATGAAAGTGTAGGGGAAAATTACTAAAAATGGTTCAGACGGAATAGATCAATTTTGGATATCTGTTCAAACTTCAAACCCTTTTCATTTATATATTTCCACTTGTATTACTAAAACACTAAAAGATCGTCATAAGTGTACATTCTTTAAATAATAATACTACTTGGCAATGTTATTTTATTTTGAAAACTGTATGTCTGTATGCATGCATAGAAATAATCAAATTTTAGTTTCCTTGGCAATGTTATTTTATTTTATTAGCATTTTTGGTGTTCCGGACATATCCATAATTTGCAGGGGTGGATATCTGAAAGATGGTTGTTTTGAAAACTGTATGTCTGTATGCATGCATAAAGAATGGCCAAGTCTTAACATATTCATGTTTTTGCAGATCTGAGTTTATCTTTGTCAATCCAAATGCCACAGGAAAGTGCGGCTGTGGAGAATCTTTCATGACCACAACTAGTGCACAAGCCGCTAAGATTCATCATGGTAAATCAGGAACATAGTAAACTTAGTTTCCAGGTTCCATGTAAATAAGTATACCTGATGAGGTTTTCCTACATGTAATACATTTCTAGTGGCAAATCTCCAGTTTATATGATATTTGATTATTTGCTGCTGCCATTTTTTAGCTCAACTCAGTTCTGTATTGTATAATAAAGAAGTCAAAGGTTTCCTTGTTATTGTTCTACTCCCTGATGCTATGTGCTCTCATAACAATAGAAGCATCTTATTTTCACCTGATTTGTCTTATAAGTCGATTCAGACATCAGAATTAGAGGAAATATCAGTTAGCAAGCAAATCACAGTGTTGGTTGGCCTCATAAAGTCATATATTGATTCATATTGTGCTTTGTCACCATCAGTTGAAGGTGCACAGTATCCAAGTGTGGCTATAATTTGTGTAGAACAATGGATATCTTGAAACCAAGAATTGACCATATTGAAGTAGGAAGTGGTAAAGTCTTGGTTGACTAGAAAGTTGTAGATAAATAGGCTGTGAAACAATGGGAAACTAGAAAAGGAAAATCATTTTCAAATTCCCTCCAAACTCAAAGTTTGTACTTGCTCAACTATATTTGAGATTTTGGGCCTGAGGCAATAAAAGTTGCTTATTTCACTCAATAGGTAAGCGTACACAATTTTGGAGCAGTGTATAAGCATGTTATATGAGGCTGCTTAACAAAACAGGGCCCTCTTTTTGTTACTCCATATTATTCTTGACTTGGCGTTTCCCTTCTTAATCTGCATTTCATCGAAACTAATAAAACCTTAATATGTTGGGAACTTTAATTTGATGAACGATTCAAATGTATTCGCTATTATGTAGTGTGAATGTATTACTTTCCTAAGACTGGTACCTCATTATTATATGTTTCAATTTGTCATTTGTTGACTTTTACTATGTTATGTGTGTGTGTTTTACGCCTTAGGCTTGCACCCCATTGCACAATGAGGCATATGCAACATGCAATTTGATAAATCACCTCAAGTATGAGATAATTTCGAGCCTTGGATTGTACCAGTGAACTATTATTCATCAAGTTTTTATGACTGAAATTAGAAGCCAAGCTTTGGAAATGACAATTGTTGAATATTATGAGTGGAAATCATACTATTCAAACTGGTTGGGAAATGGGGTTGTTAACTAAGTCGTAGTGTTTTTGTATAACGAGTTTATACGTGTTTCGGTAATAAAGCAACATATATAATCACTAATGTTACGTTTTTTGTTGTAAAAAGATAATGAAATAATTAATACTAAAATTTAAATAAAACATCAAGTTCGTATTCTTTAGTCATTAAGACTGTCCTTACAAACTCAAATGTTGTGTTTTTTTAAAATGGTGTCATTCAAACTGAGAAGGCTGGTTTATTTTACCACTAGGACAAAATCTGAGTGTCACGCCACCACCTAGCCCAATTTCTAGAATTGTAAAAAAACTAAAATCTTGTGAAAATAACTGACAATTTTAAAATAGCTCAACTTGTAGTTTCCACACAATTTCATAATCTACCAAAATCACTTCAAACATCTGTTAATTGAAATGTGCAATAATGTGTACAGACTGAAAATGTTTGATTCAAAGTACAAGCATGATAACTGATAAGTGCCCAGCTGCACTATTCGGACTTCGGAGTGTTCAGCACAGACTTGAAAGGATTGCAGAACTAATGCCAAATTCATGTTTTTGGCTGAAAGGAGAGCCTATCCTTTGACCATTCTTCTAAAGCTTTGCGGTGGAGGGCATTCATCCTAATATAAGGCCTCTTTTCCTTGATCAACTTTTCTGCATTTTTCCAATCGTCTGCAACACCCAGAGCTACCAATAGCGCACACATCACTGCAACACTTCGTCCGTGACCTGTAAGGAATCAATAGAGTGATTTATATAGAAATACTACCTTCGTCCCTTAATTAAAGTCCTGATTTACCTTCACACATATTAAAGAAATAAATTTTATCGAGGGGTAAATTTACTTTAGAGTACCCTGTTTTGCATTCTTTCACACTTTGATATAGATTTCTTTACTAAATAAGAAAGTAAGACTTTAATGTAGGAACATCCCAAAAAGGAAAGTGGAACTTTAATTTAGGGACGGAGGGAGTATTATTATTCATAAGGTTTATCATATGAATTGGAGTAAGGTTTCTCATTCAATATGTACCTTATTTACAGCTCAAACAAAGAGAGGGAGAAAGCATCCTTTTTGTCTAAATGCTGGAAAAAGAAACTAAAATGGCCTATGCATATATGTGCTCGTTTGGAAAGCTTATTTGGCTTAACTTACTGATTGTTTTGAAAGAAGAATAAAATAAAAAATTCTACCTCTCGCCTGTTAGCGAGTTTTCTTCGTCTCCTTACTTCTGGAGCCTTCGCATTTTCTCCTTCGATCTTTCTTGTTAGCTTATCCAGCCCTAATGGATCCTATTGACGCATCAATTGCAAACCTTTCATTGGCAGATTTGGATGATGATGAAGGAATACAGTATATTGAGAACGTAATAGTGGGTCAAACGGAGTCAGAACCAGAATTTTTGGTGGTTGGAAGGCTTGTGACAGAAAAACTAATAAAGTTTCCCTATTTCAAGGATACTATAGCGGCGCTTTGGAGACCAATCATGGGGATGAATGTTAAGGAACTTCAACCTCGACGCTATTTGTTTCGGTTTTTCCATGAAGGTGATCTCGAGCGTATCATTAACGATGGCCCTTGGGCATATGAACAGAGTCTCTTGATCTTGAAGCGGCTGGAAACCAACGAAGATCCAGAATCAGTGGTGCTTAATCAGGCGGATTTTTGGATGCAAGTCCATGCCCTCCCTGTTGGTTATCGATCAGAGGCTTACCTTCAGGTAATTGGCAATTTTGTTGGGTCCTTTGTCGAGTCTGATGGAAAAAATTTTGATGGCATGACTCGTGATTTCTATCGGATTCGTGTGAAGTTGGATGTTTCTAAGCCTCTTAAGAAGGGGATGCGGTTAAAGAAGGATACAAGTGAATGGGTTTCTATTAACTTCCGGTATGAGAGACTCCCTACTTTCTGCTTTGTTTGCGGTTTAATAGGGCATGGTGATAAGTTTTGTGCAAAGGCTTTGCTTTCAATGGAGCATCGAGCTGAAAAGCCTTATGGGGTCTGGTTGCGTGCGGGTGGGCGGACTAAGGTTCCAACTGCTGGACAACGGTGGATAGCTCCAGAAACTATTGCAGAACGCAAAGTGTGGAAGGCACCCGGCATGGAAACTCTTATTGGCGTTAAAGGAAAAGAATCACAAATGGAAGAGAGGGACTTTCGTTTTACAGAAAAGGCTGCTCCTGAAAATACTTTTTCTACATCACTTTTCAATGCAGACTTAAGAGGTGAGTTAACTGTGATAGAACAAAAAAGGAGGCGTACTACGTCGACAGAAGACAACCCCACACAGGCCTCTTCTATTATGGATGCTAATGTTTCAATCCCAAAAAACTTGTTTCCGGCGGGTCCTGGTACTTCCCAGGCCCGCCATTCCCAATGAGTATTATATGTTGGAACTGTCGTGGCTTGGGTGATCCACGAACAGTTCAGGAGATTATGGCTTTGGAGGCCAACAAGAAACCCAATTTCATTTTCTTAATGGAAACGAAGGTCAGACGGATTCATGCAGAGCGCTTGAAGTGTAAGATGGATTTTTCTGGAGTTTTCTATGTTGACAGTGGGGGAGTAGGAGGGGGTTTGGCCCTCTTCTGGAAAACTAAGAATTCTGCCAAGTTGCTAAGTTATTCAAAGAATCATGTGGACATTGAGGTCAATATTTCCGGGACATCTCCATGGAGATTTACAGGTTTTTATGGCTTCCCTGAAAGAAATAGAAGACATCTTTCATGGGATTTGCTACGCTCCTTACGCCCTAAGTCGTCTCTTCCTTGGCTAGTTGCAGGGGATTTCAATGAGATTGCATCACCACATGAAAAGAGGGGACTGCATAGCCATCCTAATTCCCTTATGGACAACTTTAATAAGGCTCTCGAGGACTGTTTTCTTTTTGATCTGGGTGCCCAAGGTCGTTTTTTTACTTGGGAAAAAGGCCGTGGTACAGAAAATTGGGTGGAAGAGCGTCTTGATCGAGCTGTTGCTGAGGCCGATTGGTGTTTGCTCTATCCATATGCAGTAGTGCGGAACATGGAGGTTCTTACGAGCGATCATTCTGCTATATTCATTGATACTGAGAAACCTCAAGTTCGAAGAAGGAGGCGATCATTTATGTTTGAAAATGCTTGGCTAAAAGACTCAGGATGCAGAGGAGTGGTTAAACAATGTTGGAGCTTCACACAGGGAGAAGAAGTTCCTAATAGGCTGAAGTTCTGTGCAGCAGAGTTAAAAGCTTGGGGGGGTGTATTTGGAAAAAGAATTGCCAAAGATATTGATAGGCTTAAAATTCATTTGGGAAACCTCAGGGGTAAGTATGATGCTGTTTCGCTAAAAGAGTTTAAAATTACGGACAGTAAACTTCATGCTCTTTTACACCAGCAACATACCTATTGGAAACAGCGTGCCAAACAACACTGGCTCAACGAAGGAGATCGTAATACAAGATTTTTTCACCATCAGGCGTCCAGAAGAAAAAGGAAAAATTATATTTCCAAACTCAGGGATTTAACCGGAAAGTGGCACGAGGGAGAGGCCATGAACCGTTTGATATCAACTTATTTTGTGGACATTTTCACTAGTAGAGGAGCCCACGATTTTGCTGAACTTGACGGATTTACTCCCAAGATTTCAGTAACTGACAATGCTAATCTCACCAGACCCTTTACGGCTGAGGAGGTAAAGGATGCAATCTTTTCCATGGCCCCAGATAAAGCCCCGGGCCCCGATGGCTTTAATCCAGCTTTTTTTCAACATTTCTGGGCTGATGTGGGAGCTGATGTTTCAGATTTTGTGCTCCATACAATTCAGTCTCGTGCATTCACGCCGGGTTTAAATGATACAAACATCTCTTTGATTCCAAAGAAAGATACACCGGAGTTGGTAAGTGATATGCGGCCTATTTCTCTTTGCAATGTCATATATAAAATCATGGCAAAAATGATTGCAAACAGATTGAAGACTCTTCTCGAAAAAACCATTGAGGAAACGCAAAGTGCATTTATACCCAACAGGCTTATAACGGACAATGTTCTCATTGCTTCAGAGGTTATCCATTACTTGAACAGAAAGAGAGAGGGTTATACGGGCTGGTGTGCTCTCAAACTTGATATGGCGAAAGCTTATGACAAAATGGAGTGGGCATTTCTCCGTAAAATGCTGGAGGTTATGGGTTTTGAGCACAACTTTATAGATTTAATTATGTTGTGTGTCTCCACTGTTCGTTATCGGGTTCTTGTTAATGGAGACTTAACTGAGACTATTGTTCCTACTCGTGGGCTCAGACAAGGGGATCCCCTTTCGCCATATCTTTTTATTCTCTGCGCAGAAGGTCTTGCCCATATCATTAACCGTGCAATCGTCAAGGGGTATTGGTCTTATTGCAAAATCTCCAGAAACGCACCAGGTATCTCCCATCTATTTTTTGCAGACGACTGCTTGCTATTCTTTAAAGCGGACATGACAGAAACGGATTGCATATTAAGGTGTCTCCAGAAATATGAAATGATGTCGGGACAGACTATTAATTTTAGCAAATCTTGTATTATGTTCAGTCGAAATACCCCTGAAAATATTAAAGATAATATAGCTGCGGCCCTGGCTGTTCCCCAAGCTCCTAATATCGGAAAATATCTTGGTTTCCTTATTGGGGTTGGCAGAAATAAACAGGAGATTTTCTCTTTTATTGAAACAAAGCTCCGACGCAGAATTGGTGGGTGGGGGAAGAAAATTCTTTCTCGAGCCGGGAAGGAAATTTTACTCAAAAGTGTTGCACAAGCCCTTCCCACCTACACTATGAGCCTTTATTACCTTCCCATTTCTTTTTGTGATAGGCTCGAGAAAATCTGTAACAGGTTTTGGTGGGAGTCTAAACCCGGGAATGGTAGTGGTATTCATTGGATGTCCTGGGACCGTCTTTGTGTGCCTAAATACCACGGTGGTTTGGGATTCAAAAAATTGCATCTTTTTAATAAGGCTCTTCTCGCTAAACAGGGATGGCGACTGCTTACTAATGGGAGTTCTCTGGCTTCTAGACTTATGAAGGCACGATACTTCCCTAATGGCTCGTTTCTTGAAGCTACTGCTAGCGCCAATCCTAGTTTTTGTTGGAGTTCGATCATGAGAAGCCAACAACTTTTGAGGGAAGGATGCTTTCGGAGGATAGGAAATGGAAGAACTACGAACATTTGGTCACATCCTTGGCTGCCAGACTCAAGTAATCCTTTTCCCAGTTCGGCTATTTCACCGACACTTGCAAATTCTAAGGTGGCTAGTCTTATTAATGAAAGAACTGGCGACTGGAATATGGACCTAATTCGGGAGCATTTTAATCAAAGAGATGCTGATCTTATTTTCAAGATCCCGTTTTCCCCGGAGTTTGATGATCAATGGTGTTGGAGGGGCGATCTCAAAGGCTTGTACTCGGTCAAGCAGGGATATAAGCTGCTATTGAATTCCCATTCTGCCATCGATTCTTCTTTTGCCGCATGGTCTCAACTTTGGCGTCTCAAAATACCTCCAAAGTTCCTCAACTTTATTTGGCGGTGTGCTCGATTAGTTCTTCCAGTGCGGAGTACCCTACAAAGTAGAGGTTTTGAACTTGATGACACTTGCCCCTTTTGTAACTGTGGAGAAGAGTCTGTACAACACTTCTTTCAAAGAACTGCAACCTCACCAAAATTCCATCTTTCTTTCTTGGTTATCTGGGATCTTTGCATCAGGGACGGAGGAAGATAAGAAAAAAATTGCAGCTCTCTTGTGGACTGTTTGGAAGGCCCGAAATGAGCTCATCTGGAACAATAAACGCCTTAGCTCCTCAGAAATACAGTTTTTGGCCTTAAAGCTTATACATGACTGGACTTCACCTGCTCAGAATTTCTCTTCAGCAGTTGAGCCTGAACGACTTCAACTAATGGCTAATACTTTTCCAGAAAATAATGTTGTGTGTCGAGTGGATGCTGCCGTTGACCCACAGTCAGGGAAAGCTTACTTTGGAGTAGTTATTTGTTCTATTACTAACGACTTTATTGCAGCTAAAAATGGTCCTCTTCGGTATACTATAGACCCACACACGGCTGAAGCAATGGCAGTAAAAGAAGCTCTCTCGTGGATGCAGAATGAAGCTTGGACAAATATTCGGGTGGAGATGGATTGTCTCAATGTGTGTAATCTTCTGAATATTCCGACTCAGGATTTTTCTTACGCAGGTGCCATCATTTCCAGATGCAGATCTTTAGCAAGACAGTTTAATTCAGTGTCTTTCCATTTTATTCGTAGATCAGCGAACTTGCTGGCCCATTCATTAGCCCGGGCAGCTTCTTCACAGGCTGGTCCTCATGTCTGGTTATTTGTGATTCCTCCATGTATTAAACATTATTTTCACTAATATATTTTTGCTGGTTTTCCCTCAAAAAAAAAAAAAAGAATAAAATAACAACCTTTTCAGCCAAAGCGTACTCCGTACAAAATGTCTTACTGATAATGACTGCCAAATGGGGCTCTAAGATGGTTTTAACTTATTCGGATTTCTTTTTCATGCTATCTAGTCTTATATTGGCACACGAACCAAAACAAAATATTTGCTAAAAGATTTTCAGTTCTTCACTATCAGGAAAGCTTACGAAATCGATTTATTTTCCAGTCTCTCAAGTCTTAGGATGTTTTTACTTGGACTGTAATTTGTCCCAGACCAATTCAGACCAGACCAGACTTGGATAGTTATAAAAATACAAAGAAACAAGACCTTACCAGACCAGACTAGACCAGACCAGCAAATTACAGTCCAAGTAAAAACATCCTTAATCATGCCTTCTGCTTAAGATCATCAAATGTTTTTGACTGATATTTGCTTTAGATCTACTTTTGTGAAAATGTAGTTCCTTATTTACCCTTCAGCAAAAACAACATATTTTACCCTTATGAGGAAAAATATGTTTAGCTACGCATGCAGGAAGTTGAGATGCACTGAAACATGTAAAGGCTTACCCCAATAATGAAAGCGATCAATGTAAATGCATGAAACCAAGAAATATATTGTCTTGATGTTTTGCTATGCCATGGTATGATTTCTTTTACATATTAAAAATATAAAAAAAAACTAGTAAGTCGTCCCATATGTGTCACTTTGTTCCCAGGTGAGATTTACATAAGAAACAATTAATGAATATCCAATGCTAAAAGTTTTCTTACATTGTCCTTGATGATAGTGATACATGTATTAGTTTTGGTGTGATAATCATATCAATTTTTTAAACTGCATTTTTTCTTGGAACTATCAAACTTTTCTTTAAACCTTAAAAATAAGCACCATAATATTCTATATGACTATATCATATATCCACGGGCACACATGAAATAAATCCTAAAAGTTAAATGAAACTTTTTCAAATTTATTTGATGACAGAACATTTCAAACACCGGCATCCACAGTTATCAACAAATCATCCTGGCATCTTGAGAACAAGATGCTACTTATATATCAAAGACAATACAACTTGCAAAGTTCCACAGAATCAAACACGACTCTCATCATCACACTTCACTTAGCTAATAGATAACAGAGATCTTGGCAGGGACCGCAGGGTTTGAGACAATTCAACACATTACTCCTATTGAAGTAATTCTTGTAAGCAGCTAAAAAGCAACAGAAGGTTCCCCAGCCATGCTCATATATTCAAATATAATGCTAACTTTATTATCCCAAATAAAGCATCTGTGTTTGTAATAATACTAGAAAGTGGAAACAGAATTTACAAACTGGAATCTTTTTTTGAGACGGAAAGAGTGAGAAACAAATAAGCAGTTAGAATATGATATGATCAAATTGATGTCCGCTCAAGCTATTGTCAAGTATCATCATAACCACTCTAATTCTAACCAAATTGTTATTGGTGGCGCCAAATTTATGAAAATTACCATGTTATCTAGAATTAGTTAGCACTGAAATTAATGCAAAATGATGAGATGATACCCCAAAACCATTATCAACATATGCTACACTACAAATAGAACTTAGTGAATAATGAAAAATGCAACCATGTAAAGTTGAGACTAGTCACAAACCATATGCACAATGAACAAACACCGGAACCTTCTGAGCTCTTTTTCGACAAGCCCATTTCACAGCAGCCTCAATATCAGCTGGCTGAGGTGACCTGGTATCCCATGTTGGAATACAGAAGTATGGATGATTTCCAGACAGCTCCAACTTCCTTGGTAACTCACAGGTGCAATCAACAATAGCAGGTTTACCTGGTGGCAATTTATCAGGAGAAGAAGGCCACCCTCCAACATACAAACCGTCACATACCTCAGTATAAGGAGGCTCCCCACTTTTCTTTCTTCTCAAAGCAGAGAACGCCCTCACAAAAAACAAGTATGGGCTGAACATTGCAAGGGACCATAGCGGTAAAGTCCCATCAGAGCTTTTTCCCAGCAGGATTGGGAGATTTATTAGTGGGTGAGAGGCTATTGAAATCAATACAGATATGAGTGAAGCATATAGAAAAGGGGCTGATAACCATTCGAAACCAAGATTTCTAAGAAACACGAATACTGCGAATAAAGTTGCTGCTTTTAGGCCTATCAGCACAGATATTCCAACACCCATTGATTTCCCAGGGAAATAAGTACAGACTAAGGTAGCTTTTGATAAATAATGACAAAACCCTACGAACGAAATTCACAAGTAGATTACGCAGAGGCGCAGAGACTATGTGTTGTTTAGCTCTGATTTGTGATCTCTGTGGTGAGTTGGTGAGCGCATCAAGAACCATAAGAGCACATTTCTGATGTTTGAGAATGCTTTTTTGGACGAACGAAAAGGCAAGGTTATACTATCCAAGAATGCATGTACCCACTGAATGTTTTTTTGTCTTTGAATCTCATTCACAGACAATATTTTGTCTGTGCAAAATATTATCTGTGAATCGGGGTTCACAGACAAAAAAAATACTTCACAAACATAGGTGGATATAAAAGTGGGTATAAGAATGGGTACAAAGATCATTTTTGTATACTATGTTATACAATGTTTATAAAAGGGGTAACATGAATTTGTATTCTATTTTATTGTCTAAATTGAACTTTACACCTTGTTTTAAAAAGTTTTTGTTTTTGCCCCTCAATCCCATATGACAATGCAAAAATGCTCTTGATTAGAAATAAGTGGAAGACCAACATAGTTGTTAATAGAGGGACACTTTTGTATTTTCATACAAGATTGGATGCAAAAACAAAGGTTTTTAAAAATGGGATATAAAGTCCAATTTTAACAATAAAATGAGACGCAAACTCAAATTATCCCAATAAAAAAAGGTGCATGCCTATAAATCGTCTACAAAAAGAATTTCTCTTAAATATTTAGTTTTTAAGAGAAAAACCTATAAAGTAGTTTTTTTAACACCTACGAAAACAGGGTTGCCAAATATTTTTTGCTTAGGTAGGGCTGAGCAAAACCCGATCCGATCCGAAAAACCCGATATTTTTTTCGGATATTATCGGGACCGAAGTGGATATCCGACCCGAAAAACTCGAAACCGAAAATCCGATTAATATTGGGCCTAGACCGGGTGGTGGGTAGGGTTTGTAAAATCCCAACCCGGCCCGCCCGAATGTCCGAAATATATGTTAGTGTGTACTTTGAATATGTTAAATTAATACTTGTGTTCAACTATTTGTGTAATTATTTGTGCAATTTGTATTAAATTATTTGTGTAAATTGAATGTGTAGTGCACTAGTGTGTACAATTTTTGTCAAAGTGGCATTCCAACACTTTAATTATCCAATTATAATGTGTTTTAATATAACCAAAATATTCAAAATATATTGAATTATGTAGTGTGGACTTTGAATATGTTAAATTAATACTTGTGTTCAATTATTTGTGTAATTATTTGTGCAATTTGTGTTAATTGTTTTTGTGTAATTTGGATGTTTAGTGCACTAGTGTGTACAATTTTTGTAAAAGTGGCATTTAAACACTTTAATTATCCAATTATATTTTTTTAATACCGAAATATCCGAAACCCGACCCGATATCCGATAATACCCGACTTAAAAATATCCAAAATACCCGATTTGAAATATCAAAGGGTCGGGCCTAGTATTTAAATTAAAAAACCCGAACGAGTTTAGGGTTTGCAAACCCGACCCGCCCGAACCCGACCCGTGCACAGCCCTAACTAAGAGGCCATTTGGCAACCCTGTTTTTCGGTTATCAAGCTTATCAACCAACTTTTTCACTAAACACGTAACTTTTACTTTCGCTCGATGAATTGTGTAATAAGCAGAAAAAGTAAGATTGAAGTTACTTTTCTGACTGTATTGGCTGAAGTTACTGTAGATGACCATTTTAGCTATTTTTACATATAATCTTTTCTTTATTTCATTAATAAAATATATTTTAAAAATATTTTATTTTATAAATCAGCAGAATCAGCCAATGCAGCCACTTCAACCAGATTTTCATAAATTTCAGCAGAAACAGCCAAAACAGCCGATTTTCGTGCTATCAAACGGCTCTAATTCACCCTTCACGTAGAGTGTACATTAGGGGAAATGTTGCTAGATTTCAGCATTTGGTTTGCTTGATCTATTTTTCATGATAATTGGAAAAATCGATACGAATTTAGATGTGCATAAGTTGATGATGAACTTGTGAAGGACCTTGTGAGTGAACTCGATCAATCTGAAGCGTTCAGAAGTTTTTGACTCGAGCGGGGATGGGACTACCTCCCATGGAGGCAATGGAGTTCCTTTGCCGGTGCATGGTCAACCCCGCTAGATCTTTCTTTTTCTTCAAAGTAATATTGACATAAGTTATGTTATTTTTTAGATCAATTATTTAGTCTGTTTTTAAGTTTTGCTAGATTATTTTATAGGGAGATTGTATAATTAAAATTTAGAAAAGGAAAATAAGATGCACATGATATTCCTCGCCTAAAATAATCATAACACAACACATGAGCACACCCCAATAAAAACAATAAAATTTATTTTTGGAAAAGATAAGAATCACCAATTTGAATCCGTGAAGGGATGGGTTTGTATTTGAGCAAAGTGTCAATTGAGTGCATCAACTTGCATGAGGTGGAGTAAAAAGTACACTATATTGCATTGAGTACACTTATTGGATTAACATGTTAATATGGTTGAGTTGACTAATAGAATGTTGAGTAAGAAGAGGTAATGGACCAAGATTATGACGTCAACCTTCACGAAGTCGACCAAAAAGGAAAAATTGACCTTCGGAGGTCGAACTGAAGGGGCGCATCGACCAAGGAGAAGTCGACCTGCGGGGCTGACATCGACCAAGGAAAATTCGATCGAGGGAGTGGGGCTGGCGTCGACCTTTAAGAAGTCGACACATTAACATTTTGTTAGCCAACTCGGTCGTATTAACATGTTAATATAACGAGTGTACGCGTACTCATTTAACATTAAAAAACTAAGTTCGTATACTTTAAAAAGATCAAATGCAACATAATATACTCTTTATTCCACTTATACAAGTTTACGTAGTCATAAACACTTACCTCGTTTGTATTTTGTGGAGTACTATTCAAATCTAATGGTGCAACTTGCAAGTCGGAGCAGAAGAGGCCCGGATATCCCTCCAGCGGGTCCAAAGCTGACACAAAAACACGGAATCACTCCCTATCCACAGCTCCAAATATAGTCTTTCAGTTTTCTGCTATTGATTTGCTGCTGACCAGACTTTGGCTCTACATTCAGCGTCTCCATTTTGTATGGCTATATCCAACGCTTTCTTCAATATCGCCTACACTCCGCCGCGATCTGCATTTTTCAACACGGATTATGCCGCCGGTCCGCGATTCACGCTATACAAGCTTTGCTCCACGCTTCACCGCAGAACTTTGCGCGCCGGAACAACCACATTTCATCCTAAAATGTATTTTACAAAAGAAAAAAAAAATAAATGCAGGCGCATAGAGTCCCTCTTGTCTTGACTGTTATCACGTTTTCCGTCGTTTTGTACATGTTTTGGTGTTTATTTCACTTGCTTGATCACATAGAATAATCTGTGCATTTGAATTTGCGTCGTCAATTATCTTATGCATCTCTGATTGATTATCTGCTAGTGCTCGTATACTATAACTATATACGGAGTACTCCTCAGAATATATACTACTCCGTACAATTTTCATCGCTGGAATCGTGAATTTCGGACAAAATTGAATTTCATAACCGTTTCTTAACGACCTAGTGTACGTTGGTTCATCTTAGCGAACACTAGATGTTTTAATCACCGGTGGATTCATCGAGCTTTTGCAAATTTAACTCATAGATCAGTGTGCAAATTGCAAATTTGGATAAGTACATGTATGCTTGAATGATTTCTTATGTCCTGGCGATATGAATATTGTGTCAGACATTTTACAGGGTTTCTGTTTCTTTCACTGTTCATGGTGTGGATTCATCGAGCTTTTCACTGGAATTGGTAAGTTAGACTTCCCTTAATTGATGTACAAGTTCCAGAAGATACTTGTGTGATCCTGAAATTGCTGAAGTTTGCATATTGCATTATTATGTAATTTGTGTTGTACAGATATTTGGATTAAATGTTTAAGTAATTTTGATCCTTCTTAGCGCTTCCCTAGTTTGACTCTATCATTTATTATGGCTGAAGCTATAATGTGAGTTATTGTTTGAATAGTAACAGTTTGACATATACTTGAAGGAAATAAAACATTACTGAAACATTTTCAATGACATCGTACTGGAGACTAGTTTTTTACTTTTTCAAAAACTTGACACTTGGGGGAGATTAGGTTGTAGTTTTGTAGAACAGAAAGTTGAGCCTCAATCATTTAATGTTGGGATCTTTGGTGGGGTACGACGACTGCTCTGGGAGACACATAAGGCTTGCATATAAGGCCTTACCTTAAGGGAAATATAATCATTCTTCTTATCAGAAGAATAGGTAAATGCAGATTTGGATCACTTGGACATTTTTTGGACTTATTGGTACCTTTGCATTTTAATTGATTACACCTTTAAGAAGGCACTGAACTTTTAAGAGAAAAAGTAACAAGGTAAGACTTGGATAGTTCGATTTTGAAATCATAAAAAGTTTCTTTTATTTTATTTCATTAATATGTAAGCACTTGATCCTATAAAGAGTTCATAGTTCCTACAAATTTATATCAGCAATTAAACTCATGACACTAAAAACATGTTGATTTTTCAGGAGCAGGAAGAGTCTCTTGATGTTCCAACACCAATTGTTCAGATAGTCCAAGACCCTGAAAGTGATGAAACACGTGTGGAACTTAGTTTTGGAGATCGTCTTGGTGCCCTTATTGATACGGTGAAGTCATGGACTACCCCTGTTTTCTTATGCACAGCTATGAAATGTGGCAAGATTATACAGAGTATTAAATAAGACAAAATCAATTTATGCCAATAATGTAGCCATTTTTGCACCATTAGGGCAACCTTTCTTTACTTGGCGGATCCATTATGTACAATGTTCACTAATTTAATTTTCTTTATCCTACCTCTGTAGTTCTTATTCCATATTTAGGTATTCCTCAAGTGAAAAGAGGCCGAAAGGAGCGTTATAACAATATTAACACAATATAGATAAAGGATTATTTTCCATCATCCTTATAGATGCTTCAATATAACAACAAATTTTTTATCCCTATCCATTCGTTGTGTACATTCTCAAAGCATGTTTGGTATGCTTGCTATAAGAGTGTTGGCCAATGGTTTATTTATTTAAATTTTCTTTAAACGGCACAATCTTTTATGAAGGATCTCAATAGTTGCTGCTGTAATAAATAGCAACCTTATGGATCTTAATTTCATTTATCTTCTCATTCAGATGAAGGCACTAAACGATTTAGGTTTGGATGTTAAGAAAGGCACTGTTACTACGGAGGGCTCGGTGAAAAGCACAAAATTTATCATTACACACCAGTAAGTGTCCTGTTTGTTATACTCAGACATAGCTATCATGGTAGCACAAAGGGATGAATAATTATAATTAGTGCGGTCAAAATGTATTCCTTGTCCATGTTGCGCCTTTATTTCATTTTATTAAACATTTTACATTTCAAGAGTTTGATCCTTTATTTGTCATGTTAAATTAAGTTTTGTGCGACTCAGATGTATATTTAATAATGTTGTCTATAGAGTCAAGCATAAATAGACTTTTACCTTCATATGCAATTTCTTTGCATGTCATTGATTGTAGTGTTGTTATTCTTTAGAGCAACTGGGCGAAAAGTTGAAGACCCTGATTTGCTGGAAAGAATTCGCTTGACCATCATCAACAACCTTATCAAGTACCATCCAGTATGTTTTTTATGACATTAATTCCCTTATCCTATAAATCCTATAAACAAAAAAGTTAACATTATATTAGATAGCATTATTAGCATCTTTCGTGTACTTCATACTGCTTCCACGTTTAGATTCTTTCTCCTCAGTTATTGGTTGTTTGTTCCATCAGGAGTCTAGCCAATGGCTTGCGATGGGTGAGGTTTTTGGAATAAAAGCACCGGAAAAGAAGGTGATACTTCATAAACCACTCGTCTATTAAATGTTGCTTAGAGAAAATTATTCTCCAATAACTATCACATTATGATACAAAGAGAACATTAATAGAACATTTTCTACTACTAATCTTCTATATTTTCTTGATTTTAGGAAAAATATTCTCTTAACACCTTGAAGACATTAAAAATAATGGAGTGATTTTAGGACTATATGTTTATCTGTAGTCCGTGAGTGAGTTCTGGTGTTCTTTCCTTTTGGTTGGGGGTGGGAGCATATATCTTGCATTTGGGAATTTAATGTGTTGAATCATGGCAGCCTGACATTGATGTTGCCACTCACATACATGTTGAGAACGAAGGGACTAAGAGGAGGTGAGGAATCATAATCATTAGAGCTGTAAATATAACTATGTCATAGCGTTCAATGAAGGTCATTTTTTCCAATATATGTGGGTCTATTTAGCTTACATGGTGCTCTTTTTTGTTTTTCTGCCATTCCAGCATGCTTTATGTTGAAACTGCTGATCGGTCTGGGCTGCTGATGGAAATAATCAAGATTATGGCTGACATTAATGTTGATGTTGAATCGGCAGAAATTGATACAGAGGTATGTATCTATAATTCTATATATGCCACCCATGTGCCAAACAGTGGATGCACATTTCATTCCTTACCGATGAGTTCTCTTTTTTTTCCTTTGCAGGGGCTTATAGCCAAAGACAAGTTTTATGTCAGTTATAGAGGGGCAGCCTTAAACAATTCCTTGTCACAGGTAAAACTGTTACCGGTTGTCTTTTTAGGAAGTACTACGTAGTTTTTTATGAAGTAGTTTATGCTAATCTTAGGAATTTTAATGACCCTCGAATCCTCAATCAACAAAACTTAGTTGATTGCATGCAATACTGCAAAACACCATCATTTTCTTGTTTAGTGTCTACTGATTAAGCTAACATTGATGAATACATTTGAGTTTGACACCCTTATTTAACAAATAAAGGTGATATAGTTTAGTTTACAAACTTGCCCTTTTAAAAGAAGCAAAAACAGTGATGAACCAATGTGCAGTGGTAGTATTATTATTAGCTTTATATCATTATTATAATATTATCTAGTGGTCATTAGTAGGAAAGTAGGTTGTATTATTGTTATATTCATGATCATCTTGTCTTTTTATATGGAGAATATGGAATAAAATGGGCTCTTCTCCTTGCCATCTTCATGTTTCCTGAATACTCTTCTTTTCTTTGGTTCTTCATTTCAGAGTGCCACCAAGTAAGTGTGTATTTGTTTCTCCGTTGACTCAATGGAACACTAATCCATTCTATCTCTCGCTTCTATGTTAGTGTCTGAACACAGAAAAGCCCTATAATTGTGTTTTGAACCGTAAGAACAAACATACCTATGATGTTGAATAGACAAGTTGATAAAAGTTTCAAGTTTTTGGCGTTAAAATTAGAAAAAGAAACATTCTTTTAGGAGGAACTGAAAAGAGAAGTACATTATACCAAATGGGAGAGAGGTTCTACATGGTGTACTTCCAGTTCACAATGAGTTAGTTTAGCTATTATTTTAATTCTTTTCCTTTTAAAGACCCTTGTGCAAATCGTATCTTCTGTATTAAGGTTTAGTAAGATGTTATATTGTAATGTTTATTTAATAACTCTTTAACGTGCTTGATTTATTTGAAAATGACATTTATAATGAACCGGAGGGAGTAGCTACTAGCTAGCAATAGAATTAGTCACATTCATTAAACTATCTATCTCTGTCTTAGAAGTTGAGATGTTAAAAACTAAAATGCAGGTGCTGCTAAATTGCCTGAGGTACTACCTTCGAAGACCTGAAACGGATGAAGACAGCTATTAGGCAGAAACAGGACGAAGACATCTATTAATCATTAGAGAGATATGTGCAGTAATCAAACAATCTATCTACCAATCTCAGCATAGACTTGATAGTCAACTTTATTTTGCTTTATTTGACTGTGCGTTACAAAAAATGAAACAAACAAAAGGGTTAACTCTACAACTTTAGATGTGTGCAACTCTTAAAGTTGACTGAAAGTAGGAACTAGGGATGGACCTGGTCTGGTTCCGGCCTCCGGTCCAAATATATGCCTACCTTAAATGCAATTGGTATACCCCGATGTTCTGGTTCACAGTTCTTCTCCGCTCTAGTTGCGGTCCTTTGGCCCTTTTTAACCAGTCCCAGCCCATCCTTATTATGGAAGAACTGGAGTCACTATAGATCATTTTACGTTATTCAACTATTTGTTCCAGAACTTGAAAGCGAATCCTACTCCGGGCGCAAAACGAACTGGTCTCAATCTGGTTTAATTATATGTACGTTTCTAAAGAGCTGTGTGATCTTAATCAAAAGATATTGCCCTAAATAGGACTATAGGAGTTAAAATAAGGTGTGTTTCTAATATGAGTACTATGTATTTTATTTGTATAGAAGTTAGTATTGCCATCTTGAAACTATGATGAGATCATACTTCATTTCTTAATGCCATATTATGATTGTAGAAATAATGACATAAATGATACTAAATATTTTGATTTAGACAAGAGACCAAAAGTAATGCTCCGTAAAAAAGACTGAAAAGCTCACATATAAATACTAAAAATCCTAATACTAAAGCTTGATCTCCTCACTGAATCATCATTGTTGGCTCACCTCTGGTTTTCATTCACCGCACTGCATCATTGTTGTGTGCTGCCATCATCACCGTACACCACCACTGCACTCTAATCTTTGTCATGTGTCGTCACTACAGCTAAGCCCATCACTGTTGCACCACCATCCTTTGCCACTCTTCTTGTTCATCTCTTTCTATCCAGTTGTCATTGTCATCATCGATGTCCTTGATGGAGCCTCAATATGATCGTCATGGTGGGGCTACTAGGGTATGTATGTCATTGTTGTGGGCTAGGCGTACTCATTTGGGGGGGGTGTCACTGGGATTGGGGAAGGGTTGGGGGCAGGGGCGGGAAAGATGTGTTTGGTAGTGGAGAGGCTGAGGATGGGGGTGCAGGGGTGGACTCGGGCCAGTTCGGGCCCGGTTCGGGCCTGGGCCCGGCCGGGCCTCGGTTCATGAAAGGGGAGGCCCGGAACCGGCCCGACCTCAGTTCAACTTAATTTTTTTTTTGTGCTTTTCCTAATTAACCCCCAACCCTCCCCCTTCACCCCCAAACCACCCCAAACCACCTCAAATGGCCCAAAATACTCAGCCCAACCCAAAAACTTAAAAAAAAATAAAAAAGAAATTCAAAAAAAATAAATTGGCCCGGACCGGGCCCGAACCGGCCGGGCCGGTTCACCTTTTCAGGGGCCCGAGCCCGGCCCGGCCCGGAACCCCAGCGGGTTGGCCTTACCCGGACCGGTCCCTGGCCGGGCCGGCGGTTCGGGCCGGTTCAAGCAGTGACCGGGCCGGGCCACCTGGCCCGAGTCCACCCCTATGGGGGTGTAGAGGGGGACTAGGGCTTAGGAGGTTGTGAAGGGAGGCTTGTGCAGGTGGTAACTGTCAGGGCAACAATGGTCATTAGACGCGCGGCAAACGGGTGCCAATAGTGACTGGATGAGCGGCGATGGTCACTGGTGACTAGAAAGGATTTAAATCCTACAAGTCTTTCTTGGAAACTTTTAAAATTAGTCTTATTTGTTTCCCTGAGTTTTTATATAGTAATATTGCTGTCAAAACAGCATAATTTTATTATTTCAATATGGTGGTATTTTAATTTTATTTAGAGAAAGAAATATAGTAGCATTTGGGCAGAATGGTTGTTTACACGTCTTTGCCTTCTACGAAAAGGGAGATATTTCACGCCCTTAAATTAATCATTTACGAATGTATTAATGGTTACAAAAACACCACAAAATGTTTTTCTGAGAATCAATAAACAGGAATTTATAAAATAAAAACACTAGGGATGCTTCAAGATTGAGACTATTTGAAAATTGGAAATTGTAATCCTGATTGAATATCAAAGAAGTTAATACCCACAATCGTTTAACTATCCTTTTAATCTTTCATACAACATATCGGCTCAATTAAAAATAAAACGCAGAAGCACCAGATCAAATAAGATCTCTATATGCATTCATATGCGTCCAAAGACCATGCACAGCAATTACTCTCATGTATTAGAAGTAATTTATACAAAAAAAACCTCTAATTCTCTCGGCAGATAAACAAATGAGAAAGTTCAGTTGTTACCAGGCAATCTCCACCACCTCCTCCTTAGTGGTCCTTCCATCCTGCATATTGCTATCTGACATGGCACTTATCAAGAAAAGCATTATACCACCCACGTAACTACTACATTGTCTCCTAGACCTGAAATCCCCAGCTATGGAAAGACTAGAAGTCTATAACTGGCCTCCAGGATATAGATTCGAGAAAGATCATATTTTTCCCCAGGTTGGGAATGTCCACATGATTACAAAAGCAAAACGTTACTTATCGAGTCCCCACAATGGTTGGATTGGTTGCTAATATTTTTTATGCTTGTGCCATTCTTCTCAAGAGGCACTTAACTTAGAATGGGATCAATTTATCATTCATAGTGCTTCAGATTATCCCTTGGTGACTCAAGACTTTCGCTATACATTCTCTGGTTTGAAGCAAGAGTTGAACTTCATTGAGCATCCAAGGCGATATGCCTTGGATTATAGACTCGGGCCTATATCACAATATCAAATCAGACATACTTATGGAGTTATGGTCACAGAGAGATTTACCCACAGCATGCAGACTCTTACCTGGTTCAATTTGGATGGTGCTCTCAAGTCTCAAGGGCATTCATGGGATACCGAATATGGGGTTGGGACAATCTTCACATGACCCTCTTATGTACTACACTACTACCCAAACTTCATCTCTTCTCTTGAAGGATACTTCTAGACTGTTGTATGCAATGCCCCAGAATTTATCCCCATTGTTGTCAATAGTGACATGCATTATATATCATGGGATGTTCCACCAAAACAGCACCCCCACACTCACCCTGAATGATGCAGGCAAGACGGTTGAAAGTTGTGTTTCCTTTGCATGGAAATTCAAACATAATGACCCTGTATTGGATAAGATTGATGTGAAATTGCTTCACAGAAGCAATGGTAGCTTCACCCCAGGTGGTTGGTGTGCTGGCAACCCTCCTTGCTCCAAGGTTGAAAATCCCATTGCAATGTAATGACAGATGGAAGAAAACATTTTTTTTCTCGATGAAATTGCAATGCAGTCGTAGATGGAAACATTTCTGCATATATGATAATCAAGTAGCGGTAACTAAAAATATATGAGCGGACAGCAACTTATTCCACATATTTTGTACTCCCTCCGTCCCTTAAAGCTTTACCAAGTTTGACCGGCACGGGGATTAATAAACTGTGTGGTTGAGGTTTGTGTAGAGGAGAGAGAATTAACTGGAATCACAAATTCTTTGCTTAAAAGGGAAAGTGGCAAAGTTAGTGGAACATCCAAGAAGGAAAGTTGGAAAAATTTTAAGGGACGGAAGAAGTAACTTAGACTTTGTTTGCAACCACTTGTGTTTAAATAAAAGCACTTTTTGGGAAAAGGTGATTAGTAGTAAAAGTTGGTAGTGTTTGGTAAAATAAGTGTTTTTTTTTTCTTAAAAAAAAGCAAAAAGCACTTATAAATAGAGTTTGAAAACAGGGCCTTATATCAAATCGATCAATCAGGCAACAAAACATTCAAAGTTTCCAATTCAGCTTACTTTGATATGCAAATTTTCCTCAACAAAAAGACAAAGTTGATCAAAAGTTAACCCATACCACAACGGCACACACCATCCATGGCATTTACCTCTCAGAATTTCAGATTTTACAAAATACTGAGCTCTGGTACTCTTCTAATTATTAAAGACATTTCACATTCACGGAGCATCTAATAAAATAATGTCCAATCCTTGGAGAGGGATGAAGAGGTAGCAACTAAACAGAGGCTTCTTGTGGCTCCAAAATGGACCAAAAAGTCATTTAGCAAATATGAAGCATATGATTGAGATTGTTTATAATTCCGGTCAAGTTGAACTTTTGTAAATGTGGGGAAAAGCTTATAAAATATTTACATTCAGGTTTGGTGGAATTAAAATCTCATTAAATTGTAGATGGGAAAGGTAAGTTCATGTCCAAAAGTCCAAAACCTGAGAAAAATATGTGCTATTCGCATCTTGAAACTAAATATATAATCTAGTCAACTTGAAGAGCCTTTATTGGCAAATGAAGTGATTCTTTAGCTGTCTTTAGTCTCTCTCATACACGCCTTTACGTTCCAAACAAGGATAATAAAGGGTTCTCAGAACAAACACAATTTCTGAAAATGAAGAGATTGACAATTACGTAGTACAAGATAACCAGACTAATAGTAGTGTAATAAAAACGAGAAAGATGATGCCAAACCCCTTAGTTCAATGAACCCGCGCAACATATGCTAGAGAGATCGCAGCAAAAATTGTAGTTGCAGAAGAGAAAAGGGCCCACAAACTCTTTTTTTTGTTTGCTTGCCTAACAGAGCTCTTCAAGAACTCAACTTCCCTCTTCATTTCCTCAACTTTGATCTCTCTAGTCTTAAAGCCTTTCTTAATTGCTTCCAATTCAAACACATGGGGACTAATTTGGCTTTCGTTGAAATGCTCAGAATAAATGTTGTCCATCTCGTCATCTCTCAATGACCCACCAACCCACACTGCTGTGATCTTCAACATCTTCAGAACACCCTCTAAGCCTGTGTCTGCTAATTGTAGATTAGTCTGTTTCGATATGAGTTCCTTCCTTGCTTCCGCAAGTTGGGCTTGGAGAGAAAGAATCTCATTGTTAAGAGTTTCATATTTGATTTCTAGCACTTTCTTCCCGTCTACTGCCTTGGCATAATCAGCCTCAGTATTGGCAAGCTCCAGAGAAACTTCACCAATGCGATTCTCCAGTTCTTGAATCTTCTCATCCATTATCAGACCTTTCTGTTTTTCTATATCAAGTCCCTTGGTAGCACTATCCCTCTCAAGCAATGCTCTCTCATATGCGGATTTGTAGCTCCCTACTTCGACTACCAATTTAACCATTTTCTCTTCTTGAACCTTGCAATACTCTTCCAACCCAGAAAGATCAGCCTTAAGTTCACCCATTTGGTGCTGTAATTTAACAATCACAGCTTCCGCTTTAATTCTTGCTTCTGTCATTTCCATTTTTTCACGAACCACCCTCTCAAGACACTGTTTCTTCTCCTCTACTTCCTGTAATGCATCTGTCAATCTCTTCTCAATAAAATCCTTCTCCCCAAGCAGCATGGAGATCTTACTCTCACTCTCATTCTTCCCTTCCATCAGTTCACTTATTTTCCTTTCCATATCCTTCCCCTTCTCTACACTTTCTTCAAACTTCATCTCCAACTGGATACAATTTCCTCTCAATTCATCCACAATTTTGTTCAAGCTCAAGAGCTTCTTATCGAGTAAATTCACTTCATTCTCCAATTCAAGCCTTTTCTCCATTTCAACATTTCTCTCCTTTTCACTGGCTACTTTCTCCCTCACAATCTCCCCAATTTTTCCATTCAGTTCATCTATGATCCGAGTTGAATCGACCAAGCTCCTTTCCAGCATTTCCTTATCACTCATAACAGAGTGCAGCATCCTCTCTTTCTCTTCTTTTTCATTAAACAGAACACTGTATTCAACCCATAATTTGTCAGCTCGGTGAATGAGTTCCCTCTCTCTCCTCTCTACTTCAATCAGATTATTTCTCAATGCATTGGTCTCAGAGATTTGAACATCAAGTTTTGATGCCAGTTCTTCCTTCTGGCAATTTATTTGAATAGAAATGTTCCTCTCTGCATCCATTTCAGCATTTTGAATTTTCAGTCTATGCTGCAAAGACTCGATTTCAAACTCCCTCTCTCCTATCATCTTCTCAATCGCACTCTTCTCCTTCACAATGAGATCAATATCTCTCTTTAAATCCTTCACTCTTTCACCAGCATCATCCCTTTCTTTCCTCATCTCTACACTCCCCTCCTCCATGGCATTCATCTGGTGAACCATCTGGGCACGGATAAACACAGCCTCCAACGTCTTCTCGAGCTCCAACCGCGCCGCACTATCACCCAAGCGAGCCAGCTCTGCACTCACAGACAACTTCTCCGACTCGGATCTAGCCAGCTCCGATTCCAAAGAGAACTTGTCCTTCTGGAGAGTGTCAACCAGATGTCTCTTCTCGGCTGTCTCCTTGAGAAGCACTTTGTTAAGGTCCCTGAGACTCTCCAGCTTCCCGAACCCATTGTCTGTTGCGGTAGGAAGCTGAGCGTCAACGTGGTCCTCCTCTTTGCGAGGGGCGATCTTCTTCTTGGCCATGGCGATTCACCGGGCGTTTGAACGGGAAATGAAAGGTTTTACAGAGGTCTAGGGTTTGCAAGAGTATTTGTTTAGGCAGAGGCGGCTGACGGTTGGTTGGAGAGTGAAGGGGTTTGTATTTGAATTCAAATTTTGGATGTATGGCTCCAAATTCCAAAATCTAAGGGAATAAATATGATTCGGGCCCAATTAATCATTCATAATTCAAACCTATTCCAATTCTTTTCTACTCCCTCTGTCTATAAAAGAAATTCCATTTTGCTTATCGAGAGTCAACTTAAATCACTCTTAAACTCTTACTTTTTATATCAAAATTTTATAAAAGTTGAATTATTTTTTGCAGGCTTTGTAGCGGGTTTAATATAGTTTCCGAATATGTAAATTTTATTTACCAAAAATAATCCGAGTTTTCACATGGATCATTTAACTTTATCATCGGTCAACCTTCGTAATCCGCAATTGGAACAACATTTAGGGACGGAGGGAATAACTTTTTTGGAGTACTCCACTACCTCACATACACATACACATACACAGTGCCGATCCTACCAAAACTCGGGCCTGAGTCGAACTTCATAAAAGGCCCTATACATTATTTATTTATTTTTACTATAATTTTCTTTGAAATTGAAGATTAAACATCATAAAAATGACTAATTAAATAAAAATTACATTAATGTCAAAGTATTCAAATAAAAAATTAAGTACAACTCGACGGAGAGTTTTAGCTGCAAAAGTATTAATTAATTCGACATAATCTAGATGTTCAATAAATTTCTTCTCAACAAATATATTTGTATTTTGGTAGCTATAAATCCTTTTAAGGCGTTAAATAGAAAAATATTAGAAATTTAGAAGCGAAGCAAAGAAGATGAAAATTTAACGTTGTTGTTGATCGATTAGTCCAGGCCAGAACGAAAAAATCGCAAATCGCCTTAAACCCCTTATTTTTCCATTTGTGTGTTGATGGCTATTCCGCTTCTAAACTGGCCGAACAAAAATAATTGGGGACTTTTTGGGTTTTTCTATGGAATATTACCGGAAATAAGACTAAAAAAGTTTGAAAATTCTAAAATAGAACTGCCATGTTTTTCCCAAAATAGGACTAATTACTGTCATGTTTTGGTAGTACCAGACTTCAAACATGTCAGTAATTACTTCTATTTTCAAAAAAAAACATGACAGTCCTATATTGAAATTTTCAAACTGTTTTAGTCCTATTTCGGGAACTTTCCCATTTCCATTTTGAAGTACAAGAGCGGACAAAGGTTAGGTAAAGGAAGCCCAATATGTAAATTTAATACATATATACTAAAGAAATATTTGAAATTGTGGGCCCTAAAATTTTAACAATTTTTTGGACCCTGAGGCACATGCCTCATCTACCTCATGCACCGCACGGCTCTGCACATACACAAATATGTGCATCAGTAAATGAAATAAATATGAATATATCATATTATAAAGGTCATAAGAGATCATATGAAAATATGAAATTATATACCATAGCAAACTTTATCGAATCAGACTTATTAGTCTTAAACAGATCCTAATAAATTTAATTCAAGGAAGGACATCTTTGGAATATTCCCAATATACCATAAAACTTTATGAACTTCTTAATACTTGTCATTTCCAATATTTAAAGTAACAAATACTCGGTACGTGTTTAAAATTGTTTTTTCTCTCATTCATACAAATCTCAGCCACATAATTTTATTTTATTATTCAACATGCAAGTTAAATATGACCAGGTTTTGTGGGAGAAGGACTGTATAGAGATTATTAAATTTAAGAAGTAAGCATATAAAAATCAGAATTTGAATGATATTTTACCTTTTTCATTGATATGTTTTGTCTTTCAATACACTCCTCAAGAATTTCAATACGTAATATTTTTTAATTCTACTTTGAGAAATATTACTTTCAATCAAATTTATATGGAATGTGAATTTACACTAAGGTTTTGTGTGGTAGTCAACAATTGTCTTTTACTTTACACAAGTTAAGGGTGGCATTTTTTGACCAGGAACGGTTGGTCTTGTCCGGTCCCCAAAGATCAATTCTTTTGTTTTTCCATTTTTTGTCCAAAACTATGATCAGACCGACCAATCTATCCGACCCGATTTGGGACTTCTTTATACCGGGCCGGTCCCGAGTCTCCCATTTTTTTGGCAAGGACCGGACCGGGTCAATGCCTAGGTCAGTAGGTTGTATGACCCGCTGGCCGCTGTTAACACATACGGAGTAGTTAACATGAGAATGAGGATGGCATTAACCACTGTTAACACATGCTACTAGTTTACGAATTAAGATATGGTGCGGATCAGGATAGTATCTCTATTAACAAGCAAAGAACTTTACTTGCAATGCACAGTACATGATTTGCAAATATATACGAAAGAATTCTTTTGCTTTCATTCAATGTGTACACTACAAATTATATATATATTCCCAACAACTTCACAGTTGGTGCAAGAAGAATAAATCACCTAATTTTTCGCTTAAGACCAATAACCTGCAAGCAAAATGCATGTAGTTTCGTGTTTGGTGGCTAAGATCATAAGTAGTTGCTTAATAAATACCCATCTTCACCTGGCCATTCTTGAGTCATAGACAGAACAACTAGTAACCACCATGATCAAGAAAACAACAATTTTCCTATCTCTTCTCCTTCATATCCACATAGTCTTAGCATCTGATCCCGATCCTCTCCATGACTACTGCATCCCAATTCCCGAATTCTCATCAGTCTTCCCATCTTGCAAGAACTCAACCTTAGTCACCGTTGAAGACTTCGTCTATTCGGGCATAAGAAACCCGGGAGACTTTAAGCAGACCGGTTTTATATCCAACCCGGTAAACTCAGGGGTTTTCCCGGGCCTACACACCCTAGGCATGTCATTTGTTCGGGCTGATTTTGACGCTGGAGGGGTAAATGTGCCACATTTGCACCCCAGGGCCACTGAGACGGCGTTTGTGTTGGAGGGGAGGATCTATGCAGGGTTTGTCGATTCGTCAAACAGGATTTTCGCGAGAGTGTTGGAGAGAGGAGAGGTGATGGTGTTCCCGAGGGGATTAGTTCACTTTCAGATGAATGTTGGGGATTCGCCTGCTACTATACTGGGGAGTTTCAACAGCCAGAACCCCGGGTTAGTAAAGATCCCTAGTGCTGTGTTTGGAAGTTCTATAAGAGAGGAGGTGCTGATGAAGGCTTTTGGATTCAGTGATAAGGAGGTTGATAGATTGAGAAAGAAGTTCGCTCCTCACTAGTTAGTTAGTTGTCTACTTGGTTCATAGAAATTCTTGTCCTAACAACTTCATTGTTTCTTGATTAGTATTTTAATTTTAAAAATTCAGGGATAGGGCTCCAACCCAAGCCTAGCTACCAACTATGAAGCTAGCTCACATATACTGATATACCCAGTGAAGTATTGTCATTTTGTATTACTTTTTATATGCTTCCGCAATCCGCTAATAAAGCTCCAAATGGAGTTCAAGAAATAGACTCCCAGAAACATCTGTTTTTGCCCAAAGTAAATACTAAATGTAGTGTATTGTTTGCCATTAATAATTTATGTTATATTTGGGGGCAGTAGTTATGATTGATAAGATATTGTATCAACTAATAAGGAAATAATTTAGGAACTTTCCTAAAATGAATACATCAACTTTAAATGGGGACAGATGGATCTATATCACTAATGCTAAAGCCACCCCATTTTGTACCCCATTTTGTACCCCCTCCTATGTTTGTGGTTCACAAAAGCAATGAGTAAAAATGGAGCAATTATTTTAATTGGGTTGGATTTTTGTGAGCCACAAATATAGGATGGGGTACAAAATGGGGTAGAAAATGGGGTACCTCTAGCATTTCTCGATCTATATACACACATAAAACAGCAGCATTACATAGAGATTCAGATATGACCACTGTTTGATCTCACTTGCCTCCTGTCATCTGTCAAGAGTGTCTTAAGAATAGCATCTTTCATACCCTCTTCATATGGAAACAGATGCCCACCTTCTAGAACTTCGTGATACTTTATCCACGGGAGTTTTCTGGCAATGTAGCGCTGCAGTGTGACCGGCACAAGCCCATCTTCATCACCGTGCCACAGATGAACAGCGCCTTCCCTGTCGGGGAAAGGGTTACTTAGACCCATTGGATCAAATTCCCATTTCCCAAAACCAACAATCATGTCCTGATGGATGGACTCGAACCTTCCTTGTTGTATTGCATATTCCTGTATCCACATCAAGCCACAGTGGTAACATACCTCTCTTTTTTTATAGGACTAGGAGAGGTCATGAGTTTCTAACATTTAATAAACTTTGTTAAACCGCATCCGACTCCAAGTTACTCATGGTTTAGCTAGAGCAGTTGTTTCCATGTCTGGTTGTGATGATAGTTTTTTTATTCCCCCTGATTATATTGTAAGCGGTTTGGCAAAGGATCTTTTGAACTAATAAGTATGGAAAATTCCTATTAAGAAACCTTAACGAGATTGTTTTAGGAACTAGCGCACAAGAATTGGATCAGTTTTTTTAGAAAGTCTCTCATGTGTCAAAATTATGAGTAGCAGTTAAGGTGTTAACCGCTACTCATAGTAGATTTAGGAACACCATGTAATCGAAACATATTTGAAAACATATATTTATGTGAGGATACTCAAGGCATACCTTGTAATTTTTTCTCAACGGGAAAAGGTTGGATATGACTTCCCGGTCTCGGGGAGACATCTTGTGTTTTCCGGCAATGACACTTGAGTAGGGAAACCAGGTTTGGGTGTTCCACCAGTACACAAGCCAAGGGGCGTGGTGTGCTACCCGGATAGCCCACTGGTCTTCCGGGTACTCCTTGCGGTATGCTTCTGCTGATACATTTGCCGGAAATCCCACCCACCAGTAATTCACCACCGGTGCAATTAGTCCTGCTCCTGCTAGCCTGCCAAACCACCACATTCCCAGCATTTAGTTGGCAACTACTACGTGTGTGTGGACCTGTGGTGGTTTCAGTGAGAAGGGTGTTTGCAGTGATAAATGAACAATGGTTATACCACTTTATTCACAAATTTGGGGAACTTTAAGCACTAGTATTTTATGAGTGCATCACCAAGGAAATGCTCAAGTTAGTACTTAGTGGTGGAACTTCAATCAAACCAAAGTCTATTTTAGCTGTTTAATCATTTCAACTTTTTTTTCATTAGTACCAACTATCAATTTTAACTGACAAATAATATGTTTTTTCGGAAATAGCCGCCCATACTCACTTTATTACTTTTAGAACTCATATCACAGTGAAAATTAATTCAAGATTAAAAATACAATTATTCTAGGTAAAACTTCCATATGACATGATCTGACAGTTAAACTTACATATGACATGCCAATGAGCTAATAAATAGTGATTGTTGAACTCATTTTCTGCCAAAAACAAAGTGGGTCTTACTAGAATCTTATAGGAAACTGACTTGAACATCACATTACATTACATTATGTGTGTGGGACTCATTTGCAGTTAATTTCATACATCCATTGTTTTAATTTAGTTATCCGGAAACAGACTCTCTATGTTTTAGTACAGGGGTAGGGCTGCGTACAACTGATCCCCTTACCCCACCGTAGGTTGGAGCCGTTGCGGCACTAGGGTAATGTTGTTGTTGTTGGTTTGTTTTAATTTAGTTATAGGGTAATGTCAATCTACCTGTGAGGAATGTACTTCAAGCATCCCCAAACAATCTGCCCACCCATGGAGAACCCCAACACATAAAATTTGGATCCAAGTCCCAATTGATCACCGAGCTCTTCTATATCCAGAGCAGTACTTCTTATGGTCCTATTCGGGTCAGGATCACTCTCTCCATATCCTGGTCTGTCAAAGGACACAAAGTACACCTCCAATTCATCAGCGGCTTTCTGAAACAAAAAATATGCATATATCAGAGCTCATTCTCCATAGAGATCACCTAAAAGAATGTGACAAAGGCTTTGTTGGATAAAGAAAAAAAATGGGAAGTGACTACTGAGCTAAAATAACTATTTACTATGAACTTTAAAATAAAATGATATCAAAGTCAATTAAGCTCATAAATAGTTTGATCCTCACAAACCTCAAAAACACAAGCCCACAAACTTCAACATAATCTGTTCCAACAAGTTCCCATCTTAAAGGAATGTCAGCTTAACAGGCAAAGACTGTATATAGAAACTAGAAAGTATGTCCAAATTTGGAAGATATAACCGAAGATTAGTAGAAATATACACAATTTTTGATAACTTAGAAACTATGTGGATTTGACTTTATACAAAATTATTGGAGTATCATCATAACTTTTAGTAAATTTAGTGAAGCTTTTGTCCATACAGCTTTGTTTACAGCTTTAAGTAACACTTTTCGAAATAATCTTTTTTTTTTAAATGCAAATATTATTATGATGATAATGATGATGAAAATTAAAACATTGAAGCATGTATAAGCTTTATTTACCGAGGCAGCAATGGACGCGTCATGCCTGCAAGAACCAAAGCCATGAACCAGGACGACCTTGAACTTGGCCGTGTGCTTGGGTGCACCATGCTCTTTGTAAGCTAAGAACCTGCCATCCCTGAGCTTGATTCTTGGGCCTGTGATTGGTGGGCCCCCAGGTGAACCGCAGATCTTGGGTGGTGGTGGATTCAGTGACTGATAAGCCCATCCCAAAATCCCACCTACCACCAGCACAGCTATGCTTGCCTTAACCATGCTTGATTTCATTTTGAACCCTAAGTTTTTGATACTAGACGACCAGTTCCATTTCCCTTAAAGGCTCATTTTGTATCCTTAGCATATTTCAACGTAAGGGAGGAAGGGTTGGTTGGTTGGTTGGTGGAGAAGCTAACTGAGTAACTGCGGACTGCCTAACTTTGAATATTTCGGCTTCAACTGATTTTTAAAAAAATATTTATTTGATGCGCCGCACTCGGTATTATGTTAGTCTATTACCCACCCACTAATGCCACTATTCATAAACTAAAGAGTAAAAATAAATAGGCTAAAGGGTCAAATAGGTACATGAACTAACTTAAAGTGTTCAATTAGCCCCTTATATAGGAGGTTCTGCCCGGCCGTCGCCAATTGGGGCGTTTCCCGGTGGAATTTTTTGATGAAATTTTTTGAGCATCTTCTTCATTAAGTCTAGTTTATCCATACCAAATTTCAGCAAAAAATTCAACCGGGAAGGCAGTCAAATGATTTTTTGAAGATAACTGTGCAGGTAAACAACGCAGTACATTTTGGAAAATCATTTGACTGCCTTCCCGATTTAATTTTTAGCTGAAATTTGATATGAGTAAACTAGACTTAATGAAGAAGATGCTAAAAAATTTTCATCAAAAAATTCCACCGGGAACCGCCCCAATTGGCGACGGCCGGGCAGAACCTCCTATATAAGGGGCTAATTGAACACTTTAAGTTAGTTCATGTACCTATTTGACCCTTTAGCCAAATAAATAGGGAAAATTAAGAGTATGTTTGGTTAGCATAAAGGTTAACAAAGAATTTAATTTTCCCCATTTTTAACTTATCAATTTTATCAGCAAAAAAACTTATCAATTTTATCAACCAATTTTTCATGAAGTGCGTAATTTTTTATTTCGCGCGCTGAATTGTATAATAATCAAAATACGTAAGATTGTAGTATTTTTCTGGCTAAATTGGTTGAAGTTACTTTTGAAAATCATTTAGCTATTTTCTGAGTAAGGATGTTTTTACTTGGACTGTAATTTGCTGGTCTGGTCTGGTCTGATCTGGTCTGGTCTGAACTGGTCTGGTCTGGTCTGGTAAGGTCTGGTTTCTTTGTATTTTTATAACTATCCAAGTCTGGTCTGGTCTGGTCTGGTCTGAACTGGTCTGGTCTGGTCTGGACTGGTCTGGTCTGGGGCAAATTACAGTCCAAGTAAAAACATCCTAACTCTTTATTAACTTTGTTTATTTTATTAATTACGTTCAGGAAGCGGTCACCAAAATGTACTCGGAGCCTCGAAGGAGCCAGGCAGTCATGCAATTAACCCTCTTTGTTGAATACAAGACTGCACAATGCTTCTCATTCCTAAGCAGGGATGGATTAAGGGGGGGCGCGGGGGGCGACTGCCCCCTTGGATTTTCAAAATTTTCTACCATATATGTAATATTTTCATAGAACTTTCATAATTTAATTAGATTCGCCCCCCTTAGCTTTTAATTTTCAAAATTAATATATAGTCTTACATTATGTAATACTTAATTGGAGATTTGAAAGAAGTAACATCTAAAATAATTTACATAACTTAAACAAATAAACAATAGAATAACTCGTTGTTTAAGATTTGGGATACTGATTATATAAAAATTCCTAGTTTTGTAATGTTTAATTATCTTTATTAGATAACAAGTACTGGATTTTGTAAAATATATATCAAATGATATTAAATATCAGACACACTAATTACACAGTATTTAGATCACGTGAAATGATCCAAAATATAAATGTTTATTGAAATTAAAGTACATAATTTGTTTACTTCTTGCTTTCTAAAAAATAATTTATTGCATAGATAATAAACTTTAAATTATTATAGCATTAATACAAATATTAAAATATAATATGTACCATATATATAATATGTGGTGCATATTATCTAAAAATAATAATCCCATAAATATTACTATTGTAATATTAAGAAAACTTCTCATGAGTCATGACTCACGAAAACCCTCCTTGGTAGACAAAAATTACAATTCAATAACCGATTCATGAGGTTAAACAATGTAGAAGTTATTTAAAATGTATTGGTTGATGTCTTTGTCATTGTCTAAACTTAGAATGTAATAGATTTAAATATCGTTGGGAATGTGTATGTATTAATGTCATTTTTTGAATTAAAATAGCCGCATAGCCCTACAACACCGAAAAAATTCGCCCCACTACACTATGGAAAAAAAATTCGCGCCGCTGCATTAACGAAAAAATTTTCGCCATCTACACTAACGAAAAATTTCGCCCCCCTTGAGTCAATTTCCTGGATCCGTCCCTGTAATCCTAAGGCAAATCAAATGGCAATGCTTTGGCCGCCACCCAAATCCTCACAAGTTCACACCCCGAATTGATTGCATTGAGATCCACGGCCATGCGAGTATGCGACAGAGTGCCTTGTGAATAGAGGATCGTCGGATAGGAGAAGAGAAGCTTCGAGATGCGGATCTTGAAATCTCCCATCGTTGATGTTTTGATAGGACGATACCAAAAGCCGGGCACCATGCCTTGACAAAAGCTATGGCTCATCACCATCTCACGGTTGGCACTTCACAAAAGCTATGGGCATGATTGAGTAAAATTGTGTTGAAAGATGAGCTATAAATATTCTTCCGGAAGCAAAAATAAACACGTGACTCATATATGATGGTGTTTGGTTTGGAAAGATGGAGATCATTTGGGGGTTTTGTTGCCTAGCTGCCTTGATATAGGATCGAAAATGAAAACGTAGTTTGTTGTTATTTGCTTGAATAGTAATGAGTAAGATTATATCGATATATAGCCTGAAAGTGGATATACGGATAATTCCATAAACAACACCCATGGTTCAAACAAACAATCAAGTCATAACTTGATACTACATGAAGACTTGGATTTAATCCCAAAAAATATTGGAAGTTTGAAATAATGTTTTCGTTTATCAGCATCAAACGAATACTAAGGATGTTTGGAACTCATTTTGCTTCTGCTTCTTTTTTAAAGCAAAAGCAGAATCAGAATCAATTTTCAGAAGACGGTCTCCCCCAACTTCTACACTTTCAGTCAAACACTCCAACTTCTGCTTTTACTCCCTGAAGGAGGGAAAGCAATTTTAAGAAAAACACTTCACTGGCAAGAAACAAAAAAAAAAAAAAAAACTCATGGCAAACAGAAGACAGAATAATGTTAGCATTTTATCTTTATTACTGTCAAGTGTAAACTTATGATATTCAAACTGCACAGTTCACCACTAAACTAATATCCAAAATGTCAAAAAATTGGATTCCACTAGGGCATTCAAAGAATAACAAATACATACTCCTTATAAACTAACTAATCTTTGAGCGTAACAAAGAAACAAGGTTTGCAAGAATCAAAACTGAGGTTTGGGATCAAAAGATGACTAGCAAAGAGAAAAAAGTGTAAATCAAGAAGCAAGCATAAGCAATGAGGCCTCTGTGTTCATCCCCACAAGAAGCCAGCTCAACCAGAAGCTTAGTGCAAACTCTTGTAGACCATAACACAAACACCCCAGCTACAACATTGATCACCATCCCTCCCGGCAAGAACAGAGAGACGGCTGATAAGATCACTATGGGCAACATACAATACCCGATCAAGCTCACGCACCTGTACAGATCCAAATCCCCGTTCCGCCCTGCCAGCATGTTGAACACCACGTACAGAAATGAAGAAGCCATGATCACCCAGCCCAGTAAGATCCCGAAATGGAGCTTCCCTGCAAGCAGTTGGAAGAGACCGAAGGCCATCAGGAACAGGAATGGCCCCGACAGATCGGCGTCCTCGTGAAGATACGCTTTGACGCGGATCGGGTTCAGGATTGAGAGGGTCTTCTGGTAGATTTGCTTGGTGTTGATCCCCAGCTCCTCCAGAAGTGGCGGTTCATCCTCGAAACCAGTGGCGCCGCCGCCGATAGTGGTGGGAGCGAACTGGGGAGTGGAAAACGAGGTTGAAGCGGCCGCGGCGGCGGAGCCGATGTCGAAGGACATGAATGGGATGCTGGGCGTCGACGCTTTGGGTGGCTGAAATGGGGCCGTCGGAAGTCGCCTTTGTTGTGGGCCCGGGTTCCCGCCTGACGGGAATACCACCGGCGGGACGTTGAATTCCTTCGCCATCAATCAAGCAATGTCAGTAGATCTGGGGATGATTAATTTATTTAATTAAAATCAACTGACAGGCGACAAGAAAAAGACTTGGACTTTCTTTAAATAAATTCAAGTATATGAATTTACTTTTAAAAGACTAGTCGAGTTTTATTAATAAGAAGCTGCTCATCTATACTTTAATCACATTTTTATCTCTGAACTTTTATTTTAGTAAGGAAAATGCCATTTTTATTGTTTGTAAACGTACTCATATACTCTCTATATACTCTCCGTATTTAAAAGTTTCCTACACTTTCTTTTTTGGGTTGTATTTAAAAGTTCCTTACACTTCCATTTTTGGTGAATTTATCTTTAATAAAATAATCAATTACCCTTACTTTATCCACTTTTTATCTTCTCTTTCATACTTTTACACATTTTCTCCTACTTTTTCTACACTATTCATTACCCCTACTATTTTATCCTAAAATATTGTGTCCAAAGCTAGTGTAGTGAACATTTAAATATAGAGGGAGTATAAAATTTCATCTTTTTCCAAACAAAAATCCTTAAATAGGATAAAAAGTACATGATAAAACGAACATGGAACAAATAAAATCATTATTGTTTTCCTCTAAAATAAATTTCATTCAATTCTAATTAACTGTATTGTTATAACTCAAATAAATTGATATAAATGCAATGTGCTATTGTAATTGTCAAACATTTTTTCATATAAAATATACGGAGTAATAAATATGTTTTATTAGCAAACTTTTTCAAAACAAAACACATTTCTTAGAGCAAAGGGGGAAATAATAGATCAAGCATCGTGTGATTCGATGACATCGTTGTGACACTTCTAAGACGGATGTTACAAGTTCGAAACTCATCCCTGTCAAAAATGTTGCATTTAACAAAACAGATAGAAGTATCCACCTGATCATCGGGAACTCTGAAAAAGGTTATTTTCTACTTTAAGGGCATCCTCCATTGTAGTCTGTTTTTATGTCATGACCTTCACAAATGACATACCTCTCTCGGCCTTTCAAATAGGAGAGAAATTCACGGTGGGGATCATTTCACAAAATTGACAAGGTATTGCATACACGATACAACACGTCTTTTCTCACAAGGATAAAAAACGACATACGTTCCACAAAATCTTATCTTGGAAAGAACTGATAATGCAACGGCTGAAATACAACAGTTGAAGAAAAATGATACAACTGTAAGCTAGAATGCATATATGTGATATGTATGCAGAGTGAAAATTTTCAAAGATCCAAACAACACTTTGACGTATGCCCAATGACAAAAACGATAGTTCCCAAAAGAAGTAAGTCACTATCTAAAAGTGTGCATACAATGAACAAACAATGTCATGATTCAGATTCCTCTTCCCCGCGTGCTTCAGCTGCTGCTATCAGAGAATCCAAACAACACTATGAACTATGCCCAATGACAAAAATGATAGTTCCCAAAAGAAGCAAGTCGCTATCTAAAAGTGTGCATAAAATGAACAAACAATGTCATGATTCAGATTCCTCTTCCCCGCGTGCTTCAGCTGCTGCTATCAGAGAATCCAATTTGTTGACTAACTCATCGCCAACAACCTGTGCTTTGTGTATCATGTCAAGTATATCAGCTGGATCTAAAGCTGCACCACCTCGCTTACTCACCCCGCAAATATGACCTTTCCTATTAACTGAAATGGACACAGCTGAGCTCATTTGGGATTCCTCTTCTGAAGTGGCATCTACAATACAGAACCTACCTACCTGCTCAAAGTGAGAGATTCATATCTGTCTATTAATTTTTTTTAAGAAATACAAACAAAATGTGAAAGCAGCATGAACAACAGCATGAATAATAGTTCCAGTTACCTTTGTCAAAGTGACTATAACAGGGACACTACTAGTGTCAAACTGAACAAATTCTTCATCACTCACATCAACTTCTGGCTGTTCATTTGGTGAAGCATCAGCAGATACTTGGACTCTTGGAATACATGTATTACTCAAAGCAGCCTGCAAGTGCAAAAAAACTATTCAAATAAACTGTTTACATGGTGAAGCAGCTCAAGGCAACACTTTTACATAAAACATTATGATTATTTAGATTGATCAAAAAGTCAGTTTTGGTATATAAAAGAAAAGAAATTCCATTTTTGGTCTTGTGACTCTTGTCACATTAGACCATTGTTATTCATTATTACAATGGTCATTTTTTTAACTTATGGAGCATGACTATGATTTCTGCCACTTTGGCCATTTCCAACAACTTATCCAGCAAAACTGCAAAAGTTAATCACGATTTGACCAGTTAAGTAAACAGGACCATAAGTGACAAAACATCTATAGTTGCAGAGTTTATGCCACTCGTAGTCATCTGTAGTCCACTTACTCTTAAAGAGACACTTTGGTCCCAAGGCTCCTATTATTGTCATAGTTACACTTTTAGTGCTCCACCTATGTGAAAAAATTCAAAGATGAGTACCGGAAGTGTCACTTTCAAGATAGCCGGAAGATTATAAGTGAAAAACGTAAACCATGTGTGCTAACTACTAAAAGTGTCTCTGTTACGGTCATCGATGGACTAGAAATTTAAATTTCAAAAACGAGTGCCAAAGGTGTCATTGACACAATAATCAAAGACTAAAAATGGTAAACCGCGACTCATGGGACCCAATGTAGGAAAACAACAATTGGAGACCAAAAGTGGGAATGACCAAATACTTGCTAGACCATTATGAAATATCTTCTACAAAGAACACTTCACAATAGAAGAATAAGTTTTATACCTTAATAGCAGCACCGAGAGCATCAAGTATATTCCCATCTGAACTTACCACCAGGCCGTCTATGTATAGATCCCAACAAACTTTTCCGTGCACAACTGAGAGGGAAGAAAGATCAATTGCAGCCCCTGCACCACTTTTTCCACCAAGCAAACATTGTTGAAGAGCAATTGACAGTTCGGCAGACAACTCATCGCCACCTCTTCCCTGCAGAAAATATTACCACAATGGACAATAATGACATTGAGAAGAATGGGAGAAAATCCACTGAAGCAGATGTTGGCTCTATTTTAAACATTTGAGTAGTATAAATATCATGGTAGCAAAATAAATACTATTTAATATGATACACATGAGAACAGGATTCATATTACAAAAGTGATTGCTTATATCATATTCAAAATTTAAACAAGGCACTAGTAGCATTAGAACATAGCACAACACAAGTTATTATTATAAGATTCATTCAAAGTCAATCTAATAGATGTATGCAACCTCAAATGTTGGCTCTGCAGTGGGACTGCAATCTACATATATAGAAACTCTTCCCTTGTCGGGGTGAGATGAGCTTGGTTTTCCAAGTTCAGCCTACAAATAGGAAATTAACAGACAGCATAAAGGCAATATTCAGAAATACTATTACCTGTCAGAAACATTTCAGAAAGAACCCATATTTGACTGTGACTCACATTTATGAAACCGGAAGGATAAAGAGAGAAAGTTATGCATGTAAAGTCTAACTAAATACCTTGACACTGACGATGACATCTGTTGCACCCAACTTGACTCTAGCCGAACCACTTGCCTTTCAAAGAATCAACAAGTTATGAAATCATGTTTTAGGTACCATTCGTGGCTAAAAAAATCAAATGACACAGATTGAAAAACTACTCTATGTAGATTTGAGAAAATAAGACACATTACCTGGGGGATGACACTAGTTTCAACATAAATGGGTCGATAAGATAACCGTGTCCTGCCATCTGTTCGCAAGTCTTGAGCAATACCACCTCTAATGAAGTTCTTTTCTCCAAGAGATAGCCCTACCATAACTGCAGGTAAAATCACACGTGATAAGTTGGGATGTTAAGTAATCATGCCAAAAGAATAGACTAGAAGATCACTTTATGTAATGAAGACAGTTTTGGCTTGGACCAAACAATACAATGACAAGCATGTTAGCCTTGTTAGGCAGAGACGGACCCACTAAGGGTCCCACGGGACCCGGGTCCCCGTGGACTTCGAAAAAATTACCTATATATTATACGTAGTATATATTTGAGTTAATTGCTCAAATAGGACTAATAGCAAAATTAATTGCTCATTTAGGACTATAAACGAATCACAAGTTTCATAGGACCATTTTCAGAGCAGTTGGACAAAAATACCCCTCTTTTAATATTTTAAATTTTAAAATTTAAAATTAAAAACTATTGAAACACTAGAAATAGAACTGCTGCAGCCAGAGCCAAACACCCCGCCGGCGCATCCTGCCTCCACCCTCGCCGGCGACGGAGCCGCCGGTCGCCGCCCTACCTAGCGAATGCACCGCCTGTCGCCGCCTGCTATCACATCAGTGCCGGTGCACCATTGCCACCAATCGTCCGCCCCTTGCCGCCGTCGCTTCCAATTCCCACACCGGCATCACCATCCATGCCGCCGTCGCTTCCAATTCCCACACCGGCATCACCATCCATGCCGCCGGCATCCACCGCCGCCGGCCGCCATCCTCTGAGCACCACAACCACCGTCACAACTCAGGTGGAACAAATTTGCCATTATGTTGGCAGATTTAAAGTTGGAAATTAGATTTGCATCTATCATTATACAAGAGTTTCAGATATGACAAAGAGTTGGAGATTCATGTTGGAATATTAACACAAAACTGCCACAAATTTGGCAAAAATGGCAAAAAGTGAAAAACATGAAGTAAATAACTAAATATTCAAACAACTAAATTTCTTAATGGAATGATTTTCTTAGCACAATCAGAAATTAGATAAACGGTGTTATTGCCAAAAAAATCAGAAAACCCAATTTATACAAAAGCATTTCTGCCATAATATGATGTTAATATACACATTTCTGCCATAAACTTGTCCAAATCTGAAACAATCATCCAAAATGTTGAAAATCAGAATTTTTTTTAAAACTCAGAAACTACAAACCAGAAAATCAAAACAGAATTCCGAAAATTGGAAAATTCAATTCAAAATCCAGGAAAATAGAGGGAAAATCGAAGAAGAGGAAGAAGAAGAAGAGGAAGATGAAGAGGAAGAAGGAGGAAGAGGAAGAGGAAGAAGAAAGAAGAAGAAGAACCTTAATGGCAGACGCAGCGTGAGAGAAAATTTGGTGGATCTGGTGCGCAAGGCAAAGTTGAGGGCGGCTGTGATGACCTGGGGAGAACTCGATCGATGATGCCCAAGGACGAAAGAGAACAATGTGCGCTGGAGAGAAAGGGGGAGGTTATGCGCAGGGTTGATGTGCGTAAAAGGGAGAAGGGGTGTTAGTGGAATGAAATATACGTATGTTTTAAGATACGAGTAAAATAGTCCTATTTGGGAGAAATGGTCCTATTTAAGAATTTTTCCCCTCTTTTAGTCTTATATGGAGCCATTACTATATACTCTCTCCGGTTCTTTTTAAACTTCAGTGTTTGACTTCACAGTTATTAAGGAAATAAAGTTGACTTTACTGTAGAGTACACTGTTGAGACACTGTTTGGCACTGTTTAGCACTGTTTAACACTGTTTTGATGTAGATTTCTTTGCCAAATAAGGAAATAAGGAAGTGTGAAATTTATTTTGGACCGTCCCGAAAAGAAAAGTGTGAAGTTTATTTAGAACCGGAGGGAGTATATTTTATATAAAATTAATTGGGGAATGTATATATACAACAACAACGACTAGGTGTGCAAAAGACCGTAGTAGTGGAACGGTAGGAAACGTGGGTTTGAGGGTTTTAACCTCAGTGAGGTTCCATGATCCATTCCCAGCTTCTCCTTACTTACTTCCCATTTTTTTATTGTTTCTTTTTTAATTTGCATATCTTTTGTTTGGGATGAATTAAAAAGCTTTCTTTAAATGTTAAGATTAAATTAATACTACGTACTACCTCCGTTCTCTTTTAGTTGCAACATTGAACTTTTTGCATTATTCATATATTCTATTTTGACTATATTTCATTTATTAATGTATTACAAACTGAATTTTTAAAAAATATTGTTAAATTATTCTCATTCTAAAATTTCAAAATATAATTTTTTAAATTTTTTTTACTAATAAGGAATGAAAGATATTAATGCTCAAACTTGTGTCTTGACAAACGTGAAATGTTGACTGTTGCAATTAAAGGGGAACGAGGGAAGTATATTTGTATTTATAAACGTTATTTTCAATATTATATGAATTAGGATGAAAAGATATTTCGGTATTGTACTGAGAGTTAAGGAAATTCAGAGTTCCATAGTAGTTCAGATATTCATTCAAATGATTTGTTATTAGTAAATGAAGAATTGGATCAGGTAATTCCTGAAAGTGCAGCTACTTTATCTGATAATCTACCTGAACAACATGTTGATTTTGTATCTTTGGAAGCTGATCCTGTAATTTTTTTCTTTATGCTCCCTCTGGTTCTTAATTAACTTGACACTTTGACTTCACACAGATTAAGAAATTTTACTGTAAAGTGCACCGTTTTGGTGTAGAAAAAGAAGTGTGAAGTTTAATATGGGACAGTCTAAAAAGAAAAGTGTAAAGTTAATTAAGAACCGGAGGGAGTAATATTTTAATGTTTTGATGATGTAAGTTAACTATGAAGTACTATGCTAACTTCTTTAATACTCCGTATTTTTTTAATAGTTTTTTATTAATTAGAGATACGCAAGGGTAGGGACCCCGTGCCTCCGACTTTCTGGGTCCGCCACTGTTGTTAGGTACAACTAAACAGTACAAACTTCAAGCAGCTATATTTTAAGAAAACACATAACAACAGCAGCAACATCTTAATGGCAATTTAAAACAGGTTAAAACACGTTTTGTATCACTCGCCTATGCACTTGTACCTTAATAATCTTTTGTTGAGCTTACTTGTGGTGATGGCAAATATGGAGATTGGTGATGGTAGATGTTGATTGTATTTAGGGTAGACTATGTGAAGTGAAAAAACAGCATGTCTTGGATGGATGATGGATCTTGATGGTTCAAACTTCAAAGAACGTTGTTCGACATGGAAGACTCAAGACAGTCACGAGTAAACTGAAAATTTTCTATTCAAAGGAGGAGATGGAGATGTTTGGAAAAGTTGGGTGGTTCAAGGAGTTTTGTTGTATTTTTTAGGGAATCTTTATTTCATATCTTCCCTGGGATCTTTAGGCTCACAACCATGATCTCCTATTTTTTTAACGTCTCTCCCTCCTGAACCGTTGTCGTAGGGTGGCAGTTGGACGTTGTATTTTTAGCAAGACAATGTGTTCTTTTGGTGTTACATGAGGCAAGGTGACATGGTTGGACACAGAGCTCTTTGGGTTATTCCTCGCTAATATGTTTCTACTAATGTTAGTTAGTTTAAACTCTATTGTTTCATGTTTACTTTATTTTGGGTAAATGATTTGTGCGAGTCAGAGAACTCTACTAATGTTACTTTGTTTAGTATGAGAGTCTGCGTTGCTAGATTGATTTGAATTACGGGTAGTGATTAATGATGCATGTTTTTTTAAAATATTCCCATGTATGTGTAGCATTTCAAAGTTTGTCTGGATAACATCATCTGTAATATATGTTTCCTATATAATCAGATTAGGAATGCGGAGTATGATTTAATGATTTAATATATCATCAATATTTGATTGTTCCAGAAAAGTATTTCTGGATGTAGACTAAAATTCAAAATAGGATATTTTCACTTGTACTGAAATTTCAGGTCTAATTCAGTGAAGTTGGTATTATGGGTATTTTACTACTCCCTTCATCCCCTTATATTGTCCCATTTTACCTTTTTGGGAAGTCTCAATAAAATTGTCTCAGACCATATTTGGTAAAGTTTGTGTGGCTCTAGATCATTCTTACTTTATTCTTACTTTATCAATTAATATTAACCACACAAACCCACTTTTCTTAATAATCGTGCCACCATCTTCCGTCCCAATATGAAAGGGACGGAGGTAGTATTATCTAAGCCTTGACCACATTTTTGTTCTGGTATTGTATCATATGCTTATGTCAAGTCTCATGTGGTCTGGTCTGAGACTCAATCAGTCAAGTGAGTCAAGCATCTTTAATTGTGAACTTGGGCAGAAGTAACAATTAAAAATTTACCCACTCTCTTGGCTCAACCCAAGGAGTTCTTGAAGAGCCTAAAGTATCCCATTGTCAACCACTTTATAAATAAAGATAAAGTTGAGCACTTTCTAACAAGATCAAAAGAAAGTAAGAAACACAAACTCAGTATTTCTTCACTTCATTTTAGAGTGAATAAATTCAAACTTATAAACCAAAAAGAAAAGCATCAATGAGGGAGACAGGAACGTAGTCAAGACGGAGGTTCACGGGGCGGTTGTAAACTAAAAAAACTATGTAAAAACCTTAAATGAGTAAACAATTCGAACATAATGTTTAAAATCCATTTAAATTCATACCAATATTTTTAAGTACATACAATAATACAATATATGAAACTAAAATGTTAACTGAACAAGATGTTCTTTAACTCAGCCTTTGGGTTTTGATTGATAAGGTGAAAGCATCAAATGAGATCGTCTGATTTCATCAGTTTTCTCTAACGGCCAATGACTTATTTTTTCCATTTTCCCGAATATCGCTCAATTTCAACTTCATTAGAAACTAATTCCTCTTGAACAGGTGAAATAGTTAAAGTTCCAATCTAGGCATTTGTATTTGTAGAAGACTTAAAAAACAATGAAGCGTGGTTTTTGCCTTTTTAGATGTAGAATGGGTAGCCATAAGTCCATAACTAATTAGAATGGCAGCCATTGATAAAATAAACACTATATTATTTTCAATCACAGTATTCATATTCATATTAATATGTTAAAAATCACAATCCTAATTTCCAATTTTGCAAATGAAATCACACAATGACGAATATTATTCATCAAAACTAGCAGAAACTCACAGTTTACATTCTAAAAAATTCGTATAAGTAAAAAAAAAACACTCAATCTCAAGAATCAAGATTTTAAGCTCTTAGCTACTTAAATTTAAAAAAAAAATACACATATGAGTTATAAGTTTATGACTTACCTATTGCCTGGGGCTTGGGCAATTAGCGGAGCTATGGAAGGCAGCCACTCAGCCAGAACTCCCACAAGGCCACAAGCTGAAAAGTGAGATTGTGAGTAGCAAACAACCACGCAGCAGGATGCGGCGGCGTGAGGCTGCGGGACTGCGACTGGCCGACTGCGGTCTTGCTTCCGTGCGATTCACCGAAGTGCCGAGTTGGGTTACGGGAAGTTCCTCCCTTTGGGCAATGGGCTTGGCCATGCTATTAAGTGGAAATTACCCGTTTGGATCAGTTTTCCCCCATGAATATCATTCATGTCACCCGATTATATTTCTTTCAATTTTAAACTTTTAACTTTTCAGTTTAAAGTTTTATGTTTCAAAACTAGGTCATCGTTTCGGATTGAACCTTAAATCATGCAGTTCGAAATTTAGATTCGAAAGAAGTTCTTTCCATCGCCGATTTCCAATTGGAGATGGACGACGTCTGTGTTTCGCGCCTCTCCGCCGTCAAAGCCTCATAAGAGGAGATCATTTGGTACTCATGATCCTATAGTCATCGATGGATAGAGGGAGATAGGGAGAGAGAAGCAGATCTTGCACATGAGAAGACAAGAGGTCAAGGTGATGTTGTCTTTCTTTCCAGCATACTTTATATTTATAAAACAGAACTCGATCTTCTCATTCCTGTCTCTGTACTGTAGCTCCCTTGGAGAAGAAGTCAATTTGATATTCTGTTAAGAAAAGGATCAAGGAAGACGGTCCTGGTGGTTGATGTTGGTAGAAGAGCTAGAGGTCGGTTCAGATGTAGCTACTAGCTACAGCTTCCTTTTTCCGATTGACAACCTTTTAGAGAGCCAATAATATTTTCCTTTGCGGTGTGCCATGGAATTGGTCACTTAGATTCCCGAGGAACAGATGTTTTGATGAGTTTGAATCGTTGGAGCTATGATGACGTCCAGGTCTATCATCAAACTTTACTCTTACAATTTTCATTTAATCATTTACATTTTCAGCTTGTGTATTTAGCAATAGTATCATTGCAACTGTTAATCTTAACATCAAGATAGATATGATACAACGTTGAAGTATCTACAGCTTTCAGTGGCTTAATTGCTTAATTTAGCTATAAAAAAAAACAGAACATGGACTGAGTAAATAGATTGTAGAAGTATGAAATGAATAACACAAAAATTGTGTTGCCTTCCCAACAAGACAGATAGGTTTGTGACTTTGAGAGTTTAGCAGCCGGCTTTGATTGATTTATTAGCGGCGTTGGATCTATACACATGTAGGTTGCTTGACCTTCGGG